ACCTACAGCACACTATGTACCGGCGCTAAGTACATTGCCGGGGAAACTACTGAACTCTGAAAGGCGCTGAAAGAAAATCAGGAATGAAATGTCTAATTAGAAAGTATTTACCGTGTTTACAAAAGAGGCACGAGCTTTATAGTTATCGTTTTCTTAGGATTCAACTAACGACCAAAGTGCTAAGGACCATCTGCTTGTAAAATCCAAGTTTCTGCTCGACTTTCGTTGATGAATTTCATGTATACCGCTGGTATATGTATAGTGGCACCACTCACTCAGTTTAATCTATATGGAGGAGTCCCTGAGCGGTGCTGGCAAAATTGATTATTGAATCTAGTTACAAACTAGCGAGCACCGAGATTTTATCTCACGAGGGAGATAGAACAGACTTTTATTTTGTCTGACGCATCTATATTATAAATATCATAAAGACTCGTGAACTAACAACGCTCCTGTCTACTAGTCTAGAGAATTTTATAGAAATATGTCGTAAATAAACTGCGGAATTTCATATTTTGACAACGGATTGCTTTGTATATTAAAAACAAAGAAAGTGTCGGTTCCCAGAGCAGATAGGTAATAAGTACCACACACACATATTATGTGACTGAAATGTTGACGGCGTGTTGACAGAACGCAGGGATCATTCGAATAAATTGATCTATAAAAAATGATTTAAATACCAAACTCAAGCAACGATGTAATCTCTTCCTAAACTAATAATAATTTAAACTTTACTACTCAGCCGTAAATCTTAAAAATTATTTCACTATTATAACGCGACATATTTTAATACCTACGTTTTTACTACTGCACATAAAAAACTTACCCTCAATAACTAATTTTAAGGAAATCGTGTCATTTTCACGCCGGTGACGTCACATCAGTTTAACCATTAGCCAATCAAATGCACGCAATTTGTGATTCGGTAATTTGCGGCTCAATCAACGAACGTGATTGTCCATTATGTGTAACTGCGTGATCACCGAAACATAAGCGGATCGCATGTTTACATAACATAGATTCGGCGAAGGTAGATGGCTACATGGGCTACACAGCCACTTAAATATCTACTGTTACATTTGTCTGGTATACGGAGCGCACAAACAAATCATTCCTGGAATTGTCTTACTCGTCCTTATCTTAATTTCATGAGCTCGCTTCCTCCGGCACACGTACCGGCCGCGCCCTAGATGTATGTGGCTCTCGTCACATGCACAGGACCATTCTGTTTCTCTCTCGTGTGGAATCAATTGTGGTCGGTGCCCCCGTCGCGGCAGATTGCCATCTAGCACGCGATCCCGATCACCCGACCCTACGCACGCGACGTCGAACAAAAGAAACTTACCAATCGACAATTGTATCATTCCAGACTTTACCTCTTCATTTTCGATGCTATCGTGTTTTACGTAACGAATGATTTATTTCGTGTTGTTATCGAATAATATCTGATGGTTCTGAGGGGCCCTCATCCAAATACTCTCAACACATGCAATGTTATTTGTACCATTTCATTGTTGCACCACTTAGCACCTAATTTTAACTCAGATGCTCGTTTATGCAACTATTTCTTTTGCATATAATTAACAATTCAAATGCGGTATTTTTTCCGTGCTCTGCAACACTTTCGAGCGGCCCTGACGTCCGCTGCCGACGACGACTCGAATGCAAATGAGCATCGATCGCCTGTGTGACGTATAGAGCGCACACTTCTCACCCCTTTCTTGCGACTACCCGCCAACTTGATTTACAATCCCGGATACGAGTTCCCCGTTCGAATCCAACCTATACGGTTAAATTACGAACGTTACTTTTTTCACTATGTCACAGTGACACTATAATTTAGGGCACCGCCCCTTTACTTTCCAAAGCCTTTGAATATTCATACGACTATAGCAATCAATAACGGCCACAAAGAAAATAGTTTTCGCGTGCACGCACGCGATATAATGTCGCATAAACAAATAATTTCTTCGTTTTTATTGTTATCCTTGAATTATGTTATTGCTACTCGAATTTACACGGCCCCTTTCCCGCCATCGGTCAGAAGCGATCAAATGGCGACCGATAAATTTTAAACTTCCGTGACTGGACGACGTTAATTGAGCAGCGCGTTTTTTTAAATATCCATCAAAAATGCACATCTTAATGGCCAACAATAAAAAGTGATATCGTTACATACTTTATAGACTAGGAGATAAGAACTGCGGAAGAAAGTAGATCAATACAAGTGTAATACATAGTATTTAAACTAACCGCGTCCCGCGGGTCGCCGGCCGGCCATGTTGACGATTTTGATGTGTATACTATACAAAATGGCGCGACCTGTGTTGCGTCACACGCCTGTGGAAATAACCTCAGTTTTTTGACAATATTTCGAAGCACGTCGCAGTAATTGCCCGCGTGCCGTTTACAGAATAACAAAATGTCTGCAACAAGATCAAAGGCATTAATAGACGTGTGTTGAAATTTATCGACGGCCCGTATGTCGAAGGATGAATATATACATACAAATCGCGTAGAGTCGTTTGTCTGTGATTTTAAAATTATCTACTATATTTGCGAGACGTTTTATTTACTGAGTACCTTTATAGTTTTGTATTTACGTCCGTCCGTTTACACTGAACATTGAATTACTCGGTTCATAAGAGATAACTGCGTGCTTCACATTTTGATTCGCTACGATATGTCAAGCGGTTTTGAAGTTATAAAAGAAAAACCGCGAAGACCGCCCCGAAGCGAGCCGCAACTTTGAAATAAACTAAATGATCAGCCAGTCTCGACGGCGGGCGGGACACCGGTGACATTCTAATTATGTTGTGATCGGCACTTATTGATATAACGGGTGTCTTTATAACACCGAAATAGAATTTTTATTATGGAAGCCTATTTTATTCCAACAGTTAGTGTATAAAGACGGATATTACCTCATCCTCCTTAATATACAGTTCGCGCGCACTACGGGTGACTAAATACATTTATATTTGTTTGAAAGTTGTCGCCACTCATTTGTTCCAAATAAAAAACTGACATATCGTGCGGGGCAATTTAAATTTGGAACGTCATCGTGATTTAATTATTACTTTTCCTTCGAACCACAGAGGGAGCGAGCGTCGAACTAAAGTCTGCAGATCTTGTCTCTGCATGCGATAAAGTTTAAGTAGCAATTTACACAAACATTAGAAATGTTATTAATTTACAAACGAATCACGTATATAGAGTTATTGTCTAACATTATGGTCAGGCGAGATCATAATCTGGAATATATTTTAAAATATTTGTATCACGTTCGCTCACTCATAAGTCGTTAAGTTCGTGAACGGTTGGTTTCACAAAAAATATTGTCTATAGAAGGACATAACAGCGCTTGTTATATGATTTGGAACGTGAGAATCACCAGAAAGTGACAACATCGCCTATGAAATTTTTGAAAGTGAAAACAATAAAGTTTTACTCTCGAGGTACAAAAACTTCATAAATCTGGTGAAAGTTAAAAAGCCGTTAGAACTGCTAAACATTGAGCTATAGCTCTATTATAACTTAGGTATTTAGAAATCGGATACTGGGAACCTTCCAAACTCCATGGTAATCTAACATGTAGCCAAATATAGTTTTATACAACCCAACAAGAGGTGTAAACAATGTCAGTGCGCGGTACATTAATTCATTTTTAACTCTCAATAAATAAAATACACTTTACGTTCCAATAAAAGCCGGTTGTGAGTTTTCGAAGAAAAACAATTGCACTTCAGTCCATTATGCTTTTTATTGTCAAATAATTAGAGACGAAGACGGCGCAACAACAGACAAATCTAAAATAAACCAAGTGGAAATACTTGTGAGGAAATTAGCGTACATATTGTCGGTTTTAAAATAAAATTTAAGGACGCAATTAAGTCTTTGTGATCCTTGAAAATTAATACGTCAACTCACAAACGATCCGTTTTCGGAGTCGTTAAAATACCGCAAAGCAAATAACATTATCGTTTTTCTTTAAACACTTGACGGATGTGGCCGATTTTTAACGTACTCCGGCACACAATACGACTGAACCTAAAGAGTACAGACTACACTTAATAATGTACTTATCTAAGGAGATGGCGTCCAATTATTATCATGTTCATAAGATAAAATAAATGGGAGCGCCGCGCTAACACCGCTCGGATTTAACACCAAAAATTCTTTGAACTCGAAATATACTGTAACAAATATTACCCGCAAGAGATCCGAGTATCCGAACATTATGCGCGCACTTTAATTCTATAATCATCTCTGCGAACGTCTAAAACTAATTACGCGAGTTAATTAAAGTAATTCCGCGCGTACATCACCATCTAAATAGTGTCGTTTCATTGTGAGCGCGGAGACAATATGTTGACAGGATGAATGACCACAGCATGGCGGCCGGGCTTCACGCGTAACTTCACTTGTTTATGAGTGCGCGGGCGCAGTTTTAGGATTACTGGGCTTAGGCGATGACTGCTCGTTCCCATTCAGCGATTATCTGCAAAGCGCCATGCATCGGCGTAGAGTTTAAATGAAGCGCCTAATTTCAATTGTACCAAATATAACTCTCGTATTTATTACTTGGCAACAGTTGAAGCAGGAGCTACTAACGCGGATGTTCGCTGTGCGCAGCCCTACGCGTGTGTGCGCCGAACAATTTAGCGGCAATTAAAATTGTTCGTGTGCGGATTCGAATGCAAAATGATTGCAATATATTACGTAGATATATAGCTGTTTACACTGTATAATTAACTACACTACAACTTTCGCACCGTACGCATGACGCTATTGTTTCTGCTCCAATTTCACGATTCACAAACGAGCTTTCATAACTAATAAAACTAATTTTGTTCAGCAAAGTCATAAAACATTCGTGGAAACCTCGTAATCGGGAAATCATGTGTATTTTTCTAAATGTCATTTTAAGTTAGACAACTGAAGCTTGAAGGCTAATTGATTAGTATGTGTGTAACGTTATTTGTTTTTGTCTGTAGTTGGGACGAAGGATGGCACCGGCGCAGTGTTCGGACGACCGGAGGGTGACGGTGACGACAGGCTCACGCACGCGATTCTGAGTGAAGCGCATATGATGAAGACACCTACCGGACCTCCTCACAATGATGACTCCAGAAGCAATGAGGACTCGAGCTCACCGAGAACTCAGTGCCCCTCACCGTTCTCTAATAAGGTACGACATACATTTAAAGGCTTTTAAAACATTCATTTATTTACAACTGCGATCAACAACCAAAATTAAAAATTAATCGTGTTGACTGCTTAAACTAATTAGTAATTGTCACTTTCACAGGACTCGAGTCAAAACAGAAGACTTAAGAAGTATGAGAACGATGACATTCCCCAGGAGAAAGTAGCGCGCATATACCAGGAGGAACTTGCCAAAATCATGACTAGGAGAGTAGAGGACATCCGTCGTGAAGGCTTCCCTGGGTAAGTGTTCATTCTGGTCCCAAAATTAAAATAAAAAATAGACGTTCCCATAAACTAAATCGAAACCCTTATATTTACCAAAAATTTAAACGAGAACAGCAAATCTAAAACTAACGTATAGCATGTTTCCTCCTTTTTTCAGCGGCGGCATGCCACCCCACATGGAGAGGCCCCCAGAAGACATCCGCATGGCTTTAGAAGCATACCATAGAGAGCTTGCCAAGATCCAACCTGGCGGTAACATTCCCAACATGCACAACTTGCCAGCCATGCCGCACTTTCCGAATCTCCTTGCGTTGCAGCAACAAGCAATGCAACAAGCGCAGAACCAGCAGATGAACGGCTCGGGAGCGGTCCAAGATCTCTCTTTGCCTAAAGATAAAAACGCCAAAATGAATGGAATGACTGATAGTGATAAGGATAGGTCAATGGATGCCGAAGAGGCTATTAGGCACGCTGGAAGCGCATTCTCATTAGTAAGGCCAAAACTAGAGCCGGGACAGCAATCAACGGGATCATCCGCCTCCAGCCCACTGGGTAACGCGATACTGCCGCCTGCCATTACCCCAAATGACGACTTCAGTAGCTCAGCGGCAGCAAGTCCGCTGCAGAGGATGGCATCTATCACGAACAGTCTCATATCCCAACCTTCAAATCCTCCTCACCATCCACCTGTACAAAGGTCGATGAAAGCGGTTCTTCCACCGATAACCAGCAACAATTTGATCTCTTTAACAATTTGAATACAGAAGATATAGTACGGAGAGTAAAAGAGGCTTTAAGCCAGTACTCCATTAGCCAAAGACTGTTCGGAGAGTCCGTCCTAGGACTATCGCAAGGATCTGTGAGCGACTTGCTAGCGAGGCCGAAGCCCTGGCACATGCTCACACAGAAGGGACGAGAACCTTTCATTCGAATGAAAATGTTCTTAGAAGATGATAATGCTGTCCACAAATTGGTTGCATCTCAGTACAAAATAGCGCCGGAGAAACTAATGAGGACCGGAAACTATAGCGGAGCACCTGGTAAGTATTATCTCTAAATGAAAAAAATATTGCATATCATATAATTAGAAAATAGAGTGGTAGTTTAATTGTATTTTCCTTTTCTGTTCTTACAGCATGTCCGCCGAATATGAACAAACCCATGCCGCCAACACAAAAGATGATATCCGACGCGACCTCCTTGCTGAGCAAGATGCAACAGGAGCAGTTGCTGGGTGCCGGACACCTCGGCCACCTTGGGCAGCCCACGCCGCTGCTGCTGACGCCGCCCGGCTTCCCGCCGCACCACGCCGTCACGCTGCCGCCGCAGCACCACGACAATAACAACAAGGAGAGGAAGCCCCCGCCACCGCCACAGCCCCACCACCAGCCGCCAGTCATGCGCAATCTGCACCAACACATATCGCCCAGCGTTTATGAAATGGCCGCACTGACCCAAGACTTAGACACACAAACAATAACAACTAAAATTAAAGAAGCATTACTGGCAAACAATATTGGCCAGAAAATCTTTGGTGAAGCTGTTTTAGGACTATCACAGGGTTCCGTTAGTGAATTACTATCAAAACCGAAACCTTGGCACATGCTTAGCATCAAAGGCAGGGAGCCATTCATTCGCATGCAGCTGTGGCTAAGCGATGCACATAATATTGATCGCTTGCAAGCTTTGAAGAACGAACGACGAGAAGCTAGTAAACGGCGGCGGTCAAGTGGCCCTGGACAAGACAACTCATCCGACACATCGTCGAATGATACGTCAGAGTTCTACCACTCTAGCTCACCGGGCCCCAACACGGGAGCGCCGTGTGCCAAGAAACAACGAGTATTGTTCTCTGAAGAGCAGAAAGAGGCGCTCCGATTAGCATTCGCTCTCGACCCTTACCCTAACATGCCAACGATCGAATTCTTGGCCGCAGAATTAGGTCTGTCGTCACGAACCATTACCAACTGGTTCCATAATCATCGAATGCGACTAAAACAACAAGCGCCACATGGCTTACCAGCAGAACCTCCTGCGCGAGATCAGTCCTCTGCGCCTTTCGACCCAGTCCAGTTCCGTCTCCTTCTCAACCAGAGACTACTAGAACTGCAAAAGGAAAGAATGGGCCTTGCTGGAGTACCTCTACCGTACCCACCATACTTCGCAGCTAACTCCAACTTAGCAGCACTGATCGGTCGAGGGTTAATACCACCCGAAGACCAGGTCAAGGATCAATCTGGTGGCCTCGATTTATCGATGCCACTAAAACGAGAACCCGACGGTGATGACTTCGAGGACGATGACGTCGAGAGCAACCTCGGCTCCGAGGACTCGTTGGACGAGGAATCTAAGACTGAGCCGAAGGCGGCGTCAACACCCGCGGGTCGATCGAGCAGACGAAAGCCTGCCGCGCCGCAGTGGGTTAACCCCGATTGGCAGGACGAGAAGCCACGCAACCCTGACGAAGTGATAATCAATGGAGTGTGCGTGATGCGAAGCGACGACTTCCGGAGAGAGGCGGAGGAGACGGTGCGCGTGGAGCCCTCGCCGGTGGCGCGCGAGAGCTCGCCTGGTGGCACGCCCGGCGCGTCGCCTGCGCCCGTCACGCCACGGACGCCGCGCACACCGCACACGCCACGCCCGTCACACACGCCTGATGACGTCATCCCCGAGGACAAGATTAAGGCCGAGACCGACGACGGCTGGGAGTACTAGGCTCCGCTCGCTCCGCTCTGGTGAAACGGGTCCCGAACTGTGACGTGCAGACTGTACCATATCACGTTCGAACAATTATTAATTTATTGTGTGCCGCGCAGTGTGAGTGTCCGTCGGTCCGGTGGCGACGTTCAGTGCAAATGTTACTGTGTAGCTAGTGTTCGTTGTATTTCGATTGTAAGGCCAAAGACTTTGTACATACTACCCGTGTAGCTTCTCGTGATACGCCAGTACGTAAACTTGCGATACAAAAATATGCATTTTGCTTTAATTTTTTAATGTAAACACGTACCCTGATTAGGTACAAATATCTGAGTATTTTTAAGTTACGGCTTTTTGATTCGATTGTAAATAAATATACCAAATATGTGTCGAATATTGCCTGTGAACCAGACCCTGTATATAAGTAGGTTAGTCTATTCGTGTAAGATAACTCTGTCGCTGATACAGTTAGGGGTAGGGGAAGGTTCATTTAATTGTTAATGAAAATTATAAAGTGCAATCAGATGTAAATTTAAGCTATGGTTTAACGAGCCCCAGTTGAAAAGTATTATTATGTTTATTAGAACCGGAGAGGTTTAAAATATTATAATCGGGTTATATAAGTTAACATTTAAATTATTAATGTTTATTTTATTACTATTGTATGTTTTCTATTGCATTATTTTATAGAACGCCGCGGGACCGCTCAACTTTGTGATTTTAGCTGTCATTTTTATAACGTTTAGTTATATCATAAACTCTCAGTTCTAATTCCATACAATAGCTCTATTGTTTGTTTCTTTTCATTTTTATATATTTTTTAGAAAATGTACAAATCAAGACACAAAATAATACGATTAAGCAAGTAATGTATTGCTTATGGTTTATAGTTTTATTTTATTTTAGCAATAAAATTTGCTTTTATTCTTATTTTCTTTATTTTATTTTACCTCCTTATTTTTTCCTTTTTTTTCTTAGGAAATAAGTAAAAGAAAATGTAAATTTTAAAGGAACCATACTCCTTGCATCACGTTGTACATAATTATATTCAGTTTAAATGTAAATATCTATTTGAAATGCCACGTTAGATTAATATACCTAGGTAAGTAGGAAAATAGTTTAACCCAAAAAATTTAACTTCGTAAAAGGGTAAAATCATAAATAATCGAAATTATTGTCATTCTAAAAGTGTATCGAAATTGTAACGAAATTATGTCAAAATAGATTTAGGCCTTCAGGTTTCAATAAAGTGAACAGTTTGGAAGATTTCAATTTTACATGGAGAATATTAAATTCTTTAAAAATACCTACATCCATTTTTAGAAATACCAACATACATATCGATGTTATATATAAACAGTAAGTTAGATAAGTAATAGCGTATAATAGTCAAAATTAACAAACTTAGGCTGTTAAACAGTTACAACGGTTATTTTAACTCTCCAACTCCGATATAAGAAGTGAAGGTTTTTTAACTTATTAAATCATTGATTTTTAGAATCATTTCATAGCTTTTTGCTTTTAAAAGAATAATATACGTATATTATGAATATTATTGTTATTTCATATACATAGATGCTTCGAATATTTTCGATAAAAATGGTAAAATAGTGTTTCAAAAAATGACGTAATTCCCAAGTTTGTCAGTCATGTCAGTGTTGCCAAAGCGAATGATTGATACAGAACACATATTAATTACAATTTATTTATTTGAAAATGTTTAAACAACGAATAGGTAATTGAACGATTTTATGAATATGAAATACCTGTTTAAAGATTGTTTATATATAACGGAAAACCTACGTTCTAGGTATTTACTGACAATTTAGAAATTAAAAACATTTTTTAAGCATAGATGAGATGATGTAAGCAAGAGAGATGTTTTAAAAATGGCTGTGGAATATGCAAGCTTATTGGATTGTGGTTGGGTGAGGAATATCAAAATATTGGAAGCATCTGTCATTTAAGATACGCCATCTTGTATTTTATATTGTTACGTTGAGTGTTGCCAGGTTAGAATGTAAATAGTAATCCGGTAGTGAATAGATTATTATTATGCGTTATATCCATTATAATAATGAATAGTATTAAAAATTATAGCGATAATTATTATTGTTCATATCATAATATTAATTAATAACGATGCTGAAAACCATTGTCTTCTTTCCGAACAATTTCTAAAGTTATTAAAATTAAAAATAAAGAAATTGCTAATCACATTTTGTTTCATTGTTTAAATAAGTCCAAAGTTATTTTTCACATTACTGGGAAACTATTTAAGTAAGTACTTATATCAGTTCACAGCACAATAAGGTGAGTTGGCTTAGAACAATCTTCACAGAGAAAATATTTGTAGGTATAAAATAACCTCTAAAACTTTTACTACCTAATGTATCTCACACGAATTGCCGATAAAATCATTCAATTATATTGGGAGGAAGCACAGTCATCAGTCATCACCATAGATTCAAAAATATTTCTGTGGTCATCACCCATAAAATGTGAATCTAGTCTACCCGAGCGTACGGCGCGTCGCGTTCCGCGCACGCCTCAAAGAGCCATCAGACCACCACAGATGGGGCCCAACAGGGCCGATGCTGATTCGGAGTCGCGGAGAACCTAACGGGTTACCGGGGCTCCGGCTCGACGTGCAGGAGAAGGAACGGGGTGGTTTTTAGTCAGTAAGAGTCTGACACTCCCTCCCGCTTCACCCAGGCGGGACCAGACATTCGACGATTTTCCCCCTTAAAAAAATCTAGTCATTTATAAAAGCATCTCACTAAAAGCAAGCCAGTCGTTTAAGAGTTAAGATTACTTAAGCAAAGTTACATTTATGTATTAAATAAATGATACATGTGTAAGGTTATAAAAAGATTATATACTAAGACATAGGTACCTCCTTGCATACCTATGTAAAAAATTTATCTGAAATCTTCATATAAATAGTTTACTATTACCTACAGCAATCCTGAAAATAAGACAAAACTTGAGATCTCTTATAATTTAGTAAGAACCTAAACTGTACCTACTTTGTACCTAGAATTCATTTGGGAACGAACAACTAGTTTTTATTTAAAGTAAACATTCCTCTGTAATTGCATAATATGTACTCTTTAAACCAACAGAGGTGTATAATATTATATGTATATTTAATTAATCACCCACATTTCACCAGTTACATAACTTATAAAAAGGATGGAACAATGTGCTGACTGCACGGTTGGAGCGGTGGCTGGGCAACCGGCTGCCGTGCAACGTGTCGCGGGTTCGATTCCCGAACAACACTTTGTGTGATCTACAAATTGTTGTTTCGGGTCTGGGTGTCATTGTGTATGTTTGTAATCGCACCCACGACACAGGAGAATCCCTAATGTGGGGCAACGTTTTTTAAAAAGAAAAAAAAATTAATACTGTAACTACTTGTTACAAGCTTACGCGACTATGGCTAATTTATTACAACATTCGAGGTTTGACTCCTAAATTGAAAAACGTGGTATCGAAATCAGAAAATGACCAGAGGAATAGTACCAATGTTATGGGACCTTTATTTCATGTGATAAATAAAAACTCAAAGACATAAAAACACAATAAACTTCTTTATTAATAACCAACACAAAAGATATTGTCACAGAAACATCTAATCTATTTCTTCGATGACTGGTCCGTCGCTGCCACCTTGCCCGGTCTTTGAAGAAGACCCGTGGATTTTCCTCATAATCGGAGAAAACTCTTGAGAAACCTCCTTAAACTTGGCTTCATATTCATCCTGCTCAGCTAGCGAGTTACTGTCCAGCCAACGTAAAGTATCATCACATTTACGACGAATCTTAGCACATTCCATCTCGCCCAACTTGCTCCCCGCATCGTCAATCGCCTGCTTTACATTAAATACATATGTTTCCAACTTGTTCCTGGCTAACACGCGACCCCTTTGTTTGTCATCATCGTCCTTATACTTCTCAGCATCAGACAACATTCTGTCGATCTCGGCTTGAGACAAACGACCTTTATCGTTCTTTATCACTATGTTCTTGCTCTTCCCTGTACTATTTTCTTTAGCAGAAACGTTGAGAATACCATTTGCATCTAAATCAAATGCAACGTCTATTTGAGGAATGCCACGTGGCGCTGGGGGAATACCAGTAAGATCGAATGTTCCCAGCAAATTGTTGTCTTTTGTCATTGCTCTTTCACCTTCATAAACTTGGATGGTGACTGCCGACTGATTATCTGAGTAAGTGGTAAAGGTCTGAGAGTGTTTGCAAGGTATCTTAGCGTTTCGTTCAACTATTGCTGTCATGACGCCGCCGGCCGTTTCAATTCCCAACGACAAAGGAGCCACATCCACTAAAAGAACATCTTGGATTTTAGAATGACGTTCTCCGCTCAAAATAGCGGCTTGTACGGCTGCCCCGTATGCTACTGCTTCATCAGGGTTAATAGACAAATTCAACTTCTTTCCATTGAAGAAGTTTTGCAACAAGTTCTGTATTTTAGGTATGCGAGTGGAACCTCCCACTAAGACAATGTCATGTATAGCGGTCTTATCTAATTTAGCGTCTTTCAAAGCTTTTTCGACAGGATCTAAAGTAGTGCGAAACAAATCCGAGTTCAATTCTTCAAATCGTGCTCTAGACACTCTTGAAAAGAAGTCGATTCCTTCATAGAGAGCATCAATCTCGATGCTCGCCTCACTGCTGGAGGATAGTGTACGTTTAGCTCTCTCAGCTGCAGTTCTAAGTCGTCGAAGTGATTTGGGATTCATTCGTAAATCTTTCTTATGTTTCCTTTTAAATTCGTCCGCAAGAAAATTAACCAGCCTGCTGTCAAAATCTTCACCACCAAGATGAGTGTCCCCAGCAGTTGCTTTAACTTCAAATAGAGAACCTTCATCAATTGTCAGGATTGATACATCAAATGTTCCTCCACCAAGGTCAAATATCAATACGTTTCGCTCGCCCTTGAGATCTTTATCTAAACCATAAGCTAACGCAGCAGCTGTTGGTTCGTTTATGATTCGAAGGACGTTTAATCCAGCAATTGCCCCAGCATCTTTAGTAGCTTGTCTTTGGGAATCATTAAAGTAAGCAGGTACAGTTATAACAGCTTTTCTGACATGTTTTCCCAAATAGGCTTCTGCAATGTCCTTCATCTTAATGAGAACCATGCTACTAATTTCTTCTGGGGCAAAACGTTTGGTTTTGCCTTTGTATTCAACTTGAATTTTTGGTTTTCCGCCATCATTTACTACTTTGAATGGCCAATGTTTGAGATCTTGTTGTATCTTGGGATCGTCAAACTTACGACCAATGAGACGTTTTGCATCAAATATTGTATTATTTGGATTCAAAGCAACCTGATTCTTAGCAGCATCTCCAATGAGTCGTTCTGTGTCCGTAAAGGCAACATAAGATGGAGTTGTACGATTCCCTTGGTCATTAGCTATAATATCCACATTACCATGTTGCCAGACACCAACGCATGAATATGTTGTTCCTAAATCTATTCCTACGGCGGCCATTGTGATATTTTATTTAAAGTTCTTCGTTTTTTTATTGCTTTTTGTTGTTGAAATAGTATTTTGACAATGAAATATGATGTCAATTTACGAAATTCAAATTCATGTCATCCTATCTGTTATCAGTCAGTGTTTTAGGATGATAGGTTTTAAGTAAATCATTTAATTGATTGATAATCAAGTTTGAATCGACCTGTGTCCTGTATACAACGTCCTCGCCTTTAAATATAAGTTTGTAACTCAGTGTTTTTAATTAATATTAATTGGTTATTTAAATTAGTAACTCCCACTAGTAAGAAGCATAGTTTTACCTACTACTAAACAGAAGTTCTCAACTTTTTATTTAATAAAAATATATCAAATGGAACGCAGCCGTGGTACATTGAATAACTGAACGACACTTTAGTATTGTCAAACTGACACTCTCTGTGACAGCATTTCTGTCAGTCTTCAGTCATCTGTCTGTCAAATCAATGAAAGCAACACAATGCGAACAGTGTCGTTATTTATTATTTATGTCTTGGTTAACTTAATGCTCCGTTCATATTAAGTTCCAAAATCTTATCCTAGGAAGTGGCCCACCTCAATTTGTTGCAAGTAATAACAGTGGACGCTTTAAACCAGTATATTTTCATATTATTGCATTTTACTACGACATATTCTATCAGGCGTGGTGATTTTTGTTTTATTAACACAAAATGCGGTATGCACAGTTAGTTGTGGGTCCTGCTGGCAGTGGAAAGGTAAGAAATTCATTAATACGTTTAATTCTCACTGAGTTTTACAATTAATGAATTCATGTTCAAACTTGTACATACCTAATCACTTTATCCAAATGTTGTATTGATTAAGGTGAGCTATACTCTCATAGTAAGAAAATATCTCTTCCTAAAACAATTAATTTTGTAGACAAACAACAGCATTTTTTTAACCATGGTACTTATAATTTATTTTTTTAAATTTCAGTCAACATACTGTTCAACGATAGTAAAGCATGCCAATGACTCAAAGCGTATAGTGGAGGTGGTGAACCTGGACCCAGCGGCAGAACACTTTGAGTATGAACCGCTGGTGGACATACGAGAACTCATACACCTAGAAGATGCTATGGAGGATGAGGAATTACAGTTTGGACCCAACGGCGGACTTGTGTTTTGTATAGAGTAAGTTTTATTTTGTTTGACAAGTATTATGTTATTGTTTGTTAACTCTGAGTACCGTCATTACAGACACAATTAAAGAACAATAAGTTGTGGTCACCGGTGACCGTTCAGTGTTTGACAGTTTAAACAATAAAAGTAATTAATGATTGGCTGTTTTTCTGATAGATAATACTAAAAATCTGTGCTTCCTTTTCCACAAACATTGCATTTCTGTAATAGATTTCACAACTTTATAATTTTGTAATCGATTTAAAATAAGCATATTAAAACACTCAGTCCTTACTTTTGATCATATGAGTTGCAAAATTCATCTAAGTATTCTTTTTTTTTTTCAATTTTTCATTTATTTGCAAAAAAACATGTGTATACATACACACACACACAGGTGCATGTATATAAGATGATCAAGATAAGGTTGCACTTAAGACATGTTTGCCACTCGTCATGGCATGTAAATTTCAAGTTACAAGTCAAATTTTAATAATATTTTAATAATCAATGAATTTTCATTGAAGTATTAACTTAGAATTCTAAAAACTAGAACTTTTTTCAGTAACCACATTGTGTTAACCATTATTTTTAATGAATCATTGGTCACTTGTTCCAGGACTCTTCTAGAAAACTGTGACTGGTTAGAAGAACAGCTGGGCGATGTTGACGATGACTATCTACTGTTTGACTGCCCTGGCCAGATAGAACTTTACACACACCTTCCTGTCATGAGGAAGCTAGTGGACCTGTTGCAGAAGTGGAACTTCAGGATATGTGTTGTGTTCATGGTGGACTCACAGTTCATGATTGATGGTGCAAAGTTTTTGTCAGGTAATATTTGTAAGAAATTGTGAAATGAGTGTAATTTTCTTATCTTACCATTATCAACAGCCTATAAGTGGCCACTGCTGACCAATAGCATCTTCTCGCACAGAAAAGGTTTGACCAGTAACCACCATGCTTGCTTAATGCGGGTTGGCGATTTCAAACTTATAAGTAGAAATTATAAGCCAAAGTTTCTTTGCGATGTTTTCCTTCACTATTTGTCAGTGGTGTCTAGATAATCTTAGTACATATAACTTGGAAAAAGTCAAATTAGTACTTGCCGCGTTGGTAGGTTTGGAACTCACACCCTCATGCATGACAAGTGGCGGGTCTTAAACCTCCCGGCCACCATGACAATCTTATCTTACAAATATTATATGCTGAAGTTTGTGAGGATGTACATAATAATATGTATGTTTGTTGAAGATGAAATTTAGCAAAAAATAGATTATATAATAGTCTGCAATAAGGGGCATTCCACTTTGCGCACCTAAATGAAGCGCACCCAGACGAAGCGCACCTAAAGTATTCCACTTTGCGCACCTATAGGTGCGCTTAAAATAATAATTTTAAATAAATAGTTTCTCTATTCCACGAAGCGCACCTACGAATATCACTCGCATAGTGCGGAGACTAAGAAATAAAAATATCGATATAAGAAAATATTTATTATTTAAATTAAACGTAAAACAAACTCGTACTAAGGCCTCTGGTCTCATTACACTATCGCGACGTCACGGGCTGAGTGTATGCAATTCTACGCCGGTTTTGTTATTGTTATTTTTTCTATTTTTCGTGCAATTTATTGAAATAAAATAATGGAGCCGACGGCAGGTCCAAGTAGTAGAAATATTAACCCATCTATTAATTACGTACTTGGCCGGAAGGGAACACAAGTGTTAGTGTATAATAACAAACAATATCGTAAACACAAGGTTTATAAAAACGGTAATGCCTAGTGGCGGTGTAATAAAAAAGAGTGTAATGAAACTGACAGATGTTAGATATTTAAGTTAGTCTTTTAAATAATAAATATTTTCTTATATCGATATTTTTATTTCTTAGTCTCCGCACTATGCGAGTGATATTCGTAGGTGCGCTTCGTGGAATAGAGAAACTATTTATTTAAAATTATTATTTTAAGCGCACCTATAGGTGCGCAAAGTGGAATACTTTAGGTGCGCTTCGTCTGGGTGCGCTTCATTTAGGTGCGCAAAGTGGAATGCCCCTGCAATAACACCTGGGCTACTTTTTATTCCTGTAATTGCAGGCAGAAACTTGTGTTTTTTAGTTAGACAGTAAATAACACATCTCATCTCATTATGTAGTGTTGAAATATTTTCTAATAATTCCAGGCACAATGGCAGCACTCAGTGTGATGGTGAACTTAGAACTACCACATGTAAATATTCTCACAAAAATGGATCTGCTCAGCAAGAGTGCCCGGAGACAGATTGATGAGTAAGTTAACAGCTGAATTTAATAAGCTATCCAAATATTTGAATTAAGATCCAGTTTTGAGATTGGTTGTATGAAATTCCTTGCAAAAACTGATTGTAAAGTCTATATAACATACGTAATAGTCTCGTCCCATGTAATTGGATGAGCCTATTACCATATACCAGACTCACAATACACATTACCGGACTCCGTTATTTGCCCGACCCGGAAATCGAACCCAAAACTCCTTGCTTCCTTCCTCGGCTGCCTCATTGGCTGTCCAAAACTGGAAGACCTTAAATATTTTTACTTCTTTTCCAGTTACCTAGACCCAGACCCACATGTGTTACTAGCAGACATGAGAAACGCAAAATCGAAATGGCACGAGAAGTATGCGAAGTTAACAGAAGCTATCGGAGAAGTGGTGGAGAACTTCAGCCTGGTCCGCTTTTACCCTCTTAACATAAAGGATGAAGAAAGCATTGAAAATATTATGCTAACAATAGACAATATCATACAATATGGTGAAGATGCTGATGTCAAGACCCGGGACTTTGATGAAGAGGATCCTGATAATGTAGCCTGTGATTAAAGATTTTTTATTTTATTTCGGTTTTTTATTGAGAAACAAGGTTTATAACGGAGTGCGGTATGGTCTACATTGGTTACCTCCTTTCAAAGACTAATAAGTATAGGGGAATTTTGGGGAATCCATAACACAAGTGACGCAAAATGGATACCTATTGTTACATTTTAATATGTACATCTCAGTCTACTGCATAGGGACAATTTGTTTGTAAATTGTGAAGAAAAAATCACACCATATTTTATAGACTAAATTGTTATTAAAGCGTTCCTGAAATCTATTTTCGGAATGAAACACTTGCAGTTTGCCAATCATTTTCCATTTTATTACATAACATAACATCACGCCTTTTGTCTCCGAGGCAGAGGTGCATATTATGCTACTGTACAATGTAATACCCACTTTTCACTATTTATGTTCTGAGTCCCATGTAATAGGGGGTGAGCCTATTGCCATATATACCGGGCACAATTCCAGACTCCGTGCTACTACTGAGAATATTTAAAAACCCAGTAATACTTTGCCCGACCCGGGAATCGAACCCGAGACCCCTTGCCCGGCAGTCGCAATTACGACCACTCGGCCAAGGAGGATTTTTTTTTTTTTTTAAGGGGGGAAAATCATCGAATGACTGCTTCCGCCTGGGTGAGGCGGAAGGGAGTGTCAGACTCTTACTGACTAAAAACCACCCCGTTCCTTCTCCTGCACGTCGAGCCGGAGCCCCGGTTACCCGTTAGGTTCTCCGCGACCGGCCAAGGAGGATAGTCCTTGATGAGGTAGACAAAAATACATGTACTTACACAATGAAAAACTCACTGTTCGTCAGTTGTCAAGTCGATGTCGAGTTATCGATGTAATAGAGGCTGAGTCTATAACCAAACTATTACGTACAACTTGGGAGTCTAGAATTCCATGAAAACACGCACGAAGCGCTTCACATTAAGCTTCCTTGTGCGTACTGTTAAGGAGTAAAATTCTTTACCAGAGTCTGTTTTTCCTGAAGGGTGTGGGGGGTCTTCAAATCCCGAGTCAATAGGTTGCATGTGGGACGACGTGCTCCATCCATCGTAGACCGTATCATCGCTTACCACGAGGCGAGATAATGGTCTAACGTCGGCCCATCAAATATATAAATAATAATTATAAAAAAAGACCAAAATAGAATAGTAATATTTATTATTCTAACATAATATTGTGCCCACAAACAGAAGTGATTAATGTATTAACTATCTAAACATTTACATTTCACTCAACATTTTATTATATAGTGTATATTAAAGTAACATAGTATCAGTACAATAGTATATAAACACAACATTATAACAGATTTATTACTATTATTGTTTTCCATTTTGTGACAGTCAACATATACAAATTATTTTATCCATTTTATTATAATAAGGGAATTTGAACCCTATTGTCATGCATGATTAATGTCAATCTTGTCTATTATCAAAGTAATTCATCCTTAAAGTACTGAAAACACAGTACTTATCGCCGTACCCTGAGTCTGTTTTCAAAACAAAATCATTACCAAGAACTTTAAGTATTTTTTTATAAATATAATACGGAATAGAATACGGCAGTAAATCGCACAGTTCTAGGATTCTGTAAAGCAGTAGATACCTACGTATTGTTTATTGAAACTACAATAATAACATTGATATTATTCTTTATTAGCATATTCGTTGTTACATTTTGTACCATTTATCTTACAACATAAGATTCTAAATTGCAAAAACCAAGAAAGGACTGCCACAAAACAACGTACTGTAGGATTATTAAAGAAATAGTATCTGATGGCATAGTACGAGTATATTTCACGTTTAAAGTAATCGAAAGGAGACTGTGTCCGGCGCTCTGATTGGTTGGTTCATTAGAGCCGGCCAATCAGAGCCCTGAACGCGTACGCGTCTCGATAAGGCCTCTGGAAATAACACCCAGATTACAAATGTGGGCAATCAGAATAAAACACAAATATCAATTAGTCAATACAACTTGTAACTAGTGTATAATTACAACTTAATTATGGCCAATATTAATAACGGATCTCTTAGTAGATTTAGTTATTGGAGATATCATTTTGATATTTCGAAATTAATAATATTGATTACGATCATAAATTCTTTAATTAGGAAAGATGTTGAACGTTATTTCTATTGGTCAAACCAACATTCATACAAAGATTGATGAATGTAAAAGAAGCAAAAGAGGTATGTCAGAAACGTAGCATTTAGTATTCTATTATGTCTACCTACGTGTTTGCCAAAGAAAAAAAAAACATGTATGTATGAAAATTCTATGGAATTTCTGTCTACTCAGTTTCTTAAACTGATCCAAAAATTGAGATGTCTACACTAGCAATATATTGTATCTCCAATACCAAATATACCAACAGATATGTTACCAAAACTGGCTTCTAGCATACATTACAATATCCAACACAGTAAACTAAGATATTGTCGAGTAATATTTAACATTGCATTCATAACCACAGTATAATTAGACTAAAGGCTTAAACATAATGCTTATAATAATATAATGCATTGATATTACATTATTACTAATGAACTGATAGTATAGACGTTATAATCTACTACCGATTACGTCCCTAACATTATGAAGGAGCCATAATATGTATTGTATAATACACCTATTAAATTAGTCATAATTTTAGGGATAATCCTATTCCAAGAATACAATTCGTACAAATGATGAGAATCACAATTTTCTTTATAACACCATTCATCTATTCATTCACTCATTCGTACATTCAAAGATTTAAGTCATTTCAGTAGTTATGACTGAAGATGCGACGATTTTTTGGATAGCTTTTATCTTAAAAAAAATAAGCTTTCTTATTATCCGTTTTTACCAAACCGCTCATCTCTAATTAGTAATTATGACTTACATAATTTCTACTCACGCAATTTACAGGTCAAAATTCAATGGGGTTATGTATTTTTCGGACGCACATCGTTCATTTTACTATTTACTTTTACGAAGTAATAGTAAATACAGTCAATACAGTCTTCAGTATATTGAAATCTAGATCGGTACATAATATATTAGGATTACCTCTCATGAAGAAATAGTTGCTAAAGTCCAGCTTTATAGTGTACCAACATGACTGAAGAAAGAATATTACAGAATGAGATAAACGTGAAATATAGTTATACAGAATAACATAGCAATATTAGATACTTGTCTTATGTTACTATAATTTGTAAGTAATAACTTCAATAGAAGAATGAATCTATTTTTCTAACAATCATTTGCATCATTTTTTACAGTATTATGAACACATTATGTATAGACACTAACTAAGCTTACTAAAGCGTCGAAATAACCATATATTTCTGCACTTATAATCGTCAACATAATCACTCCTTCTTGGGTAAGAAAGAACTGATAAAACATTAAACATTTTCGCAATATTCAACAAATGTGATTACTTCACAAAACTAACAAATAATTGACACACGAGATTACATTATTTATTTCAACCATACACCACATTATTCTATATCTTTAACATGCAAAACGAGTATTACGGTAGTAGAAAATAAGGTCTAAAGTTGACAAAATCATGCTTAATTGCTTACATAGATAAAGTTAGAATGTCTCCGGGCTATAGAGGATCTTCGGAGGAGTCTTCAGGCAGTGAGAGTGCATCAGTGATGCTGAACACGAAGGTTTGGCAGCCAAACTGCAGCAGTGCGCCGTGAGGGACCAGCGCCGAGCCCTCCCACGCGCCCTCGCTACTGGGGACGGACCCGCAGCGACACGAGGTCTCGCCCGGGAGAGGAACTGTTAGGTTGCCGTTTATTCTGGAATTGTTAAGAAAATCAATGAAATATTGTTTATTTAATGTAAGTCATACTTGATGGGTGATGATTTCAATTCACATAAAATAAAGCAAGAATTGAAATTTGAAGATAACCAAAACTAGATGAGAAAGTTACTATGAAAGACATCATACTTTAAAGTAATTAAATGAACATAAAGTGTTCTATTCATACTATTGAGACCAGAGTAAATAATACAAAGGTGAAGTATATATAAAGGTAGCTAAACTCACCGGAGTGGTTCAGCAAGTCGATGCCTGACGATGTGTCGCAAAGCGTCGGCCCTGAGTTCGGAGTCCTGCAGGTCGGGCTGCGCTGGCCGCCCCTCCTGGCTAGGCTCGGGCTCCGCCCCGGCAGCCCCAGCCCTCAACACGTCGCAGGTATACAGCACTCCGTTCACACAGGAGCCCCACTCCGAGTAGTTGATCAACTCAAAGTGACGACTCACCTGATACACGAAACAAGTATTAAATCGTTGTATATGTAAATTTTTCTCAGTTATGTTTTATGAATAATTTTATTCATCATACTTTTTCATGTAACTGATTCGATGATGATATTTGTTATTTGTGCAATGCCATAAAAACGTACACTAATAGCTGACCTCAATAACATGAGTTACTATATCATAATATCTAGTACAAACCTCATCCATAAATATGACAGCGTGATTTCTTGACACATGTCGGCAGGCGCTGGGGTCGAGGCGGACGTCGCAGCCACTGTCTGACCCAATACTCAGGGATGACAGACGCATCGGTATAGGGCGACCTAGTCCATCTCCAACGCCGTTCCTGGAATATTTTAAGACTTAATAATTTAACATTTGCTATATTGAGATATTAAAGCGCCATGCAAAATAGTTTTGGTTTTGTTAAAATGTATAATGTCTAGAAACCGTCTTCAACCTCCTTTTTTTGAAGTCTGTTAAATGTATTATAGTAATAGAGATATTGTACCTGTCAGGACGTGTAATAGCGCACAGCGTGGCTCGTACCGCGGCGGCACTGAGCGAGTGTCCGGGCGACGAGGGCGGCGAGGGCGGGCGCGCGGGCGCGGGCGGCTCGCCCCAGACGGCGCGGGCGATGCGCGCGCGGTCGGCGCTGGACAGCAGCTCGGACGGGCGCGCCGCGCGCAGCACGCCCAGGCGCGCCAGGCGCGCGCGCTCCACCGCGCCGCCCACCGCGCGCGCCAGCCGCCGCGCCGCGCCCAGCCCGCGCCACGACCCCGACAACTGCTCGCCCGCCAGCACCTGGCCACGCGCATGTCTTACATACTACTCTTCTAAATTCATAATACAATAAAAATAGACACTTACAAAATAGATATCACCAAAAATTACAGCAGAACAAGCATATTGTCATGTTGATTCTATTTATATACCTAGAACCGTATAATCATTTCATACATTCCTATAAATAATACATTTCAGATAATCACTTTTCCTCTGTTTCTTCATACCACTCTCTCTCCACACTCCATAAGCCCTTACCTGTTGTAATCTCTGCCAGGCCAGCAGTTTGACAAGTCGTTCATCCAACTTCTTGAGCTGGTTATCAACGACATTGAGTAACTCCTCGACATCTTCCTCCGGCCTGAGCTCCAGCCTGTCAGTCCTGCCTCGCTTGGAGGGAGACTTGTCCTCGGACTGGGACACCTTGCGACGCTTCACTGATGCTGTCAGATACTCGAAGTCCGAGTCAGATAGTTCACTGTCTGAGTCTGATCGTACTTCTGGCTGCTGGGCGAGATATTAAAGAGATATTTTGTTAATTAAAAGAATTGTTTAAAAAATTTAAAATCAATGGATGTTTTAAGCAAGTTCATTTAAAATGAGTTGTTGAGCTTAAAATGAAGTTGTGTGGTCCAGTCGTCTCTATACTTTTTAAGCATGAGTCAATCAAAGTGAAGAAAATTAACTTCAAAGCAGAAGAATTTTGAGAGGCCAAAATATTAAAATTATTTCTAAAGTAACCATGTTTACCTTAGACACAGGCTCAGCACTGATAGCATGCAGGTCGTCGGCGGCGTCCTGGGGCGTGGCGGCGTGGAGCTGGGCGCGCGGGGCGCGGTGCGGGTCGTGCGGCGGGGCACGCGGGGCTTCGCCCTCGCAGCCGCAGCGCCCCCCGCTGTACTGGGGACACGAAGTGTTCAGGCAGATCTTGTGCTTCGGACCCTCGTCCTCCTCCTCCTCGCTCGCCTCGTAGTTACCGCTGTTCTTCAGGTTTTTTAGCACTGTTGGAAGTGTCGGAAGCTTTAATATGGGTAAATTTAAACTTTCACTGTCATCAAATGCCTGACTGACATATCGGACAAAAATATTTTTCCGCAGATGTTTCAATACGAAATTACTATATGGTGTCAAAACAGTGGGAAAACTTGGAAAATATAATAACTGAAGTTAATTAACATCATCAACAGACAAAAAATCTGTTCTCAAATGGAGAAGCAACCTTTATCGTGTAATTTGGATAATTTTATTAGATACTAGTCTATGGTGTCCATCATACGATCTAGTAGAGATCGCTCAAATTCAAAAGCATTTATGGCTCATCGCGTTGAGACTTATTATCAGATTTTCATCGTTATATTATAGTAAAGTGTTAGTTATTGAAGTATTAGTGTACTGACCGTTCCTGCAGCGCACATACTCCCTGCGGCTGGGCAGCAGCGGCGGCGGGTGGCAGTAGTGGTGCCGGACCATCGCCGGGACCACCACGCGGCCGCGCAGGGACACTGGGACCTTCATACTGGGGGACATACAACAATAATTACTATCTTGGAATGAGGCTACCAATGTCGAGGGCTAAATGCTTCTGCAGTCTGTAATGACACATACTTTCACTCTCAGAATTATCTGGATATTCAAGTCTAAAATTGAGCGAAAGCCAAACAGGTTATTAGAGAATATGGGCTATTCTCTTTAAGGTCCATTCGACAATAGCCTGATCGGAGAATGCTTCCGCTCCAGGAGAACCCGTAAAGATTCCTTAGGGGACGGGGATCCTTAAAAGATTTGATCACAAGGATCGGCGCACCCTGTTCCCAGAATTGGGACTGGGTTTCTAAACTTCATTGCTATATCCAGCCACGTTCTAGCCTAAAAATCATGTTCAGTGTTAACAATAAGATTGTTACATAATATTTAGTGTTAACAATAAGATTATTACATAATGGGAATAACAGTACTGGGGAAAAAATGTATGTTGTCATCAGCGCCTCTAGTGGCAATTTTGTGAATTACTTAATTAGCAGTCTCTGCCTAAGTTTAATGTACATTAAACTATTGCAAACTCACCGGAACGCAGGGCGGACCTTCCTGGCCCTTCGAATGAAGTCCACCTTCACAGCCTGCTGGTCCACTGGTCCGGAGAACTTCTCCCACAGCGCGACGCGCTCCGTCGCTGATATTGAGTTCACGAGCTTCCAATCCTGAATTAGAAGCAAATTATATTATGTCATTAAAATCATACAAGGAACAGAAATGGACGCACAGAAACTTTTGTACAAGGCAGGTGGCAAACAAGCACATGAATCACTTGATGATGGTAAATGCCACCCAAGGACACTTCACACATCAAACAGTCATTTAACTTGTATATCCCCAAGCAGTCATTTCCACCTTATTTCCAATGTTTAGAGACTAATTTTGTATGAAGAAATTTAGGGGATGATTTTCAACAGTTTATGTCAGTTAATTTGTAACTGTAGAATAAAATTGTTATTTGATAATTTTTGATAGTTTTTAGTATGGAAGAATTGTCAAATATTCAAAGTTATTCCTCAGTTAATCTGAACATTGAAAAATTTGCAATAAAAAAATGTATTTTGATAATTTTATTCATTCTTTTACTTAGGTATACCCAAGAAAAGTTACTTTTAATGATTATTATTATTTTGTATTTGTATACTCACAATATATTGTTCTACATGATTGGGACACATCCAGCGTCCGGTCGGCAGTGCGGTCAGTGGTGGGTCCAAGCAATCCTGGAACAAGTTTGTAGTAGTCGGTTAGATTAGGTAATTTAAATGGTTAGTAAGTTTATTTTTAGTAAATCAATGATTTTTATAATAACTATCGTGAGACATACTAAATTAACTAAAATCGCGGGTTACTCACGTGAATATTAAGCGATGACGTGGCTGATTATGGAGCACGGTAAACACTAAAAACTTGATAAAACGGTAAGAGTAAAGTTACAGGAGAGAAAATATTAAGTAAGTACAAAAATAAAGGGGTATTTTTTTAAGGGAGGAAAATCATCGAATGACTTCTCTCGCCTCGGTGAGGCTGGAGGGAGTGTCAGACTCTTACTGACTAAAAACCACCCCGTCATAGTAGAAAGAACACAGTAGGTTATCTAAGGCCGCCCGCCGAGTTATTAGCCTACTCTTGCGTTGATCCCCAGGGTTGTCACTTTTACTTTTAGTTAGTATTTTCGAACAAGCAGCACTTGATCTAAATTTATGAAATGAAAAGCATATTATGATTGAATATTTTATCAATTTATAAATTTAGTAAAAATTAAAAGCTTATAAAAAGATTTTTAACTTCTTAAAATAAACTTTAGCTCTATACATAGTATTCAGAAAGTAAATTTGGGAATACATTTATATGGAAAATTGCGACTCGGCTCCGCTCTTAACATATCAGATAAACTGTGAAATAAACAATACAATACCACATTTTCTTATAATATTTAAGTATAGTAGGTAATTACATTTCTGGTTGAGTAGGAACTATGAAGAATGATAAGAGTAAGAATAAGTAAGTAGGTATCTCATCATCAAGTACCTACAAATTATATTATGCTAGAAAAAGTGACTAGCTTACCTTTCCTGTTCAATAGGTACCTAATCTGAACAGAGACAGTTCTGGAATCGATTAATTATTAAGACACCCAAACACGCAGCAATACGTTCTTCTACGATTATCAGACATTTTTTATTTCATTGAACAGTGCCGAAAAGCCGTGAAGCGCGCGCAATCCTCGTACAGTGTCAGCCCTGCCTGGCGCACTGAGAAACGGGTCGAGATTTTGTTATAGTGTGCGTGCGTCGACGCATAGATACTATGGCGCACACATATAAGCCGCGCGCGGACCATTTGTATGAAGATAACCTACTTTGTTCTTTATACTATGACCCCGTTCCTACTCCTGCACTTCGAGCCTGTGCCCCAGTAACTCGTTAGGTTCTCCGCGGCTCCGTAAACAAAGGGGTATAGAAACGCCTTACCTGATGAAACAGCAAGGGACAGTAGTCACACTGCAGTAGCGGCGCGTGCTTGCAGGTGGCCTGGCACACGAAGCACGCCTTGGCCGGCAGCGGGACGCAGCCCCACGCGTCCACCGTCACCAGCGAACTGTTGCCATTCTTACCTGGGTCTGAGAACATTGGAATATGTACGTTATTATTTAAATATACTGATTGCTTGTTCTACAAGGTGTTGTTTTAAAGCCGCGTCATTTTCTAGGAGGTAACTCTGCTATCGATTCTGAGTCTGAATCAATAAAAAATTGTAGGTAAATATTTACAATTCTATTTTAATATAATTGAAACAAGATGTGACTTTATTACTTCTTTAGTTCATTCTAATCTCAAAAAAAGAGTTTCAATAGGATGATACATTTTTCCCTAATGTTTGACATTAAAGCCTTTGATGGAGTATTGATATAACTGACCAATAATTAACTTTATAGATTCTCATTTTTTTTTAAGTGAGTTCCAGGTTTATTATTACCTTTTGAACTTAAATATATGAAATTTAGTTTTTTGATAACAGTTCGCTGGGAAATAAACCAGACAGATAATAAACAGACCTATTGAGATAATAATAAAAATCAAATATATACCTTTGTCAGTTCCTGGGAATATACATGGTATCCTCATCTCCCGGGGTAGTTCGAACTGCTTCGGGTTCATTATCTTTGCAGCCTTCACTAGGATCTCCATCGGAGACAGTTCTTTCTCCACTTCCTGCTTTATTTCTATCTCATCGTCCTTAGCCTTCTTAGAGTTGGAGCGATTCCGCAAGCTAAAGAAAAATAATTTTGGAAATATGTATTGAAAAAGCTCATCTCCTGCACTACTAGTTCGACTTAAATAATACTCTTGTGTTATAAAACACAATAACACGATTAATAGGACCCAAGCAGCGGATGAAACCGCGCAGCAGTATCTAGATACTAGTAATTCCTTCTCCGTCTGAAAAGAACCCTCTTCTAACCAGTGGGACTAAGAGGCCGATGAAGAATAATTTAGCAAAAGTTTAACAATACGTCGCACTTTTATAAAGTTGCTATGAAGCGTGGGTAGTAAAGTCACCTCCTAAAAATATCACAGGTCGGAAAAACTTCTTCCTATTTCTTTCATGGTTTGAAGTAACCTTATGAATGGCATTTATCCGAATAAAAATACCATGTTACCTATATTCACTATATTAATATAAAAAGATACAATAATATCACTTGGCGTCACAGCAGCTAAGACGGTTAGCCCCATATATTCTGATTTTTGAAAAATGCCTCTACTTAATATACCTATACCAACCTCATATTTTCTTCCAAATTAATTCGAAAGTAGCGGACAGAGTGTTTGGCGCACAAACAAACAGCGTACCTATCTGCTCGTGGATATTAAATTGTCAAAGTTGCCATAATAATAAAAAAGAAGTATCTATCTGTCAAAATCTGCATTCTAAATGACGGTTTACGTTTCGTTCCACTCTACTTTTTTATATTAATCGCGTATCCGTCAGATAACAATACAATGAGGGTGTTAAGGGCAAATCAACTACTTCCAGACACCACGAATAGCTGCGAGATATTTATATTCAAACCATAAATTTTTGTTAGTTGTTGAAACAAATTATGTGAATTAAGAAAATAGTATACTTCTTGGCACAACTTTACCAATGAGACAGAGCCACTGTCAAGAATGAAAACTGTTTATTTTTTAGACTTCAATTTTAACGTTGTCACTGATCATGGTTTTGAAAGCATAGTATTTTATACTCGGTAGCTAATACTCCGATCTTTCTCATTAAAATAGTTAATAGCTGTGCCAGAGGTTCCTCAAATGATTCAGCTATGTACGACGTGCTTTTATTTTATTTATATGCAGTAGTATTTGTTACATGTTACAGGAAATAAATATAGGTGTCCCTGAAGTCAACAATTATTAAATATACAGGTATTTAATAATTGTTGATTTCATAGAATTTTATACGACCTTTATTGGTCAGAACCAATTAATTTGTTTCAATAATTCGAATTTGGCGATTGTACAACGTATCTTTATAAAATAACATGTAAGATATAATATTTCGACTTTTCGATATAAATATTGAATATGACTAGTTCTCAACTAACTACTGGAGCAATAGAAATGCTTCAAAATATCAAGTTACCCAGATTTCTTCTCCGTATCAGACTTGTTGTCAACGGGTGACTGAGCTCTGCTGCTGCGGGAGCTCGCGGGCTTGTTCTCATCAGCAGCCCGGCACTCTTTGCACAGCCACAAACCCGCTGGAATATCATTCTCATCCAACGGTGGATCACTGGAACGTAAAGAAGAAAACTGTAAAGTGTATATTTAAATTGGGTAGCTTTCTTGTTCTAAACTAAATTAATTAGATTTTATATGCAATTAAATTTTAAAGATTAATTATACTTTCATTTATCGATCTATCTATAATTTTTTTTTATTCCTTCAGCTAATATTTCTTTAAAAATAAGACTGCTATTTGACACTAAAATATAACCCCATCATAGGTTGCAATCTACACTAATATTATACAGGGGAAAGATATGATATGTTGTTTGTTTGAATGGAATAGGGTCCGAAAGTACCGGACCAATTTGAAAAATTCTTAACATTAGAATCCTACATTATCCCTGCTCAACAGAGGCTATCCTTACTAGTCCTTACTAATATTTTAAATCGGAAAGTGAGTGAGTTTGTTTGTTTGTTTGTTCCACTTTCGCGCCGTAACTACTAAACCGATTGCTTTGAATTTTTGCAGACGTGAAGTTAGAAGTGGATTAAATAATAGGGTACTTTTTATCCCGGTAAATTTTGATATTCTAGAGGGAAAACGAAATTATTGGTATAGATGGCGCTGTGTGTATGTCACATGGGCTACTTTTTATCCTTTTGTGACGCGAGTGAAGCCGGGGGTAATATTTGATAAGAGGAAAAAAGGAACCATATGAAAATTACGACAATGTAAGTGATGTGTGAAAAATCTACTAATAAACTCCTTATATTACTTACAGCTGTGGAAAATATGGGCAATAGAGCAAAGTGATGTTCTAAAGTGTTACAGAGGACATTAATATCAACGTTAAAGTCTGTAATAACATGTCAAACTATTACAGTTATCCCATAATAACAATTTTTTCAACTATAACAATTTTGAATATCAACAATAGTACTAACTACAATAGTAATGCAAACGAATTATTAAAAAATCCAACTTCTGCCAGAAGCCATTATTCTTATACTAGCAACCCGCCCGGCTTCACACGGGTGTCTTATACTAACAACCCACCAAGCTGTGCACGGGTGCAATATGCATGTATTATACATATAAACCTTCCAAGAATCACTATACCTATTAAAAAAACCGCATCAAAATCCGTTGCGTAGTTTTAAAGATCTAACCATACATAAGGACAGACAGACGGCGGATAGCGACTTTGTTTTATACTAGGTAGTGATGTGAACGAAGTTGCGGGTAACGGTTAGTCTTATACAAAGTTCATAGTTTTCTATGAATATATGTATCTATGTATATTGTTTGTGATATTCCGATAAAAATATTTCATTTGACTACTTATCAACTACCAAAATAAACTTCCGTATTGTCATCATAATGTCATCAACAGCCTATAAATGCCCACTGCTGAGCAAATCCTCTTCTCACACGGAGAAGGTATGAGCATTAATTAGAAATTATAAGCCCAGGTTTCCTCACAATGTTTTCCTTCACTGTTTGTCAGTGGTGTCTAAATAATCTTAGAAAGTACATATAACTCGGAAAAAGTGACATTGGTACTTGCCGTTGGTAGGTTTCAAACCCGCATTCTCATGCATGAGAAGCCAGCGTCTTAAACCTCCGGGCCACCACAACATTACTTCCGCATTAATGAAAACTAACTGCGGTTTGTTATAGTCTGAAACTCTGGAGAAGCTGAAAGTTATTTCGGTTTGCTTCGAGTAGTAGTTTGGTTTGAGACCCGAAATAAGCAATTTCAGTTTAGTTTACTTCAGATATAATTTGCACATGACATACAAATTCGAATTTTTGCATACATATAGCTATAAAATTGAAAAAAAATATGTGTCTAACTATTTTTTATGTGCTGTTTAACTTTTTTTTTTACTTCTATACAAGTAATACTACTTTGTATTTACTTCTCATCATTTTTATTTATTATTGCTTCGTTTTATTTCTTTTACTCCACATATAAATATATTGTGTTTGAGTATCATTTGTTATGCTATGTATAGTATGTAAATGTTTCTTTTTTATTGTTACTCATTAAGTTTTAAATTATTATGTGAACATTCACCAAGCTACTTACTAGCATCCGAGGTGGAAACTAGCGGGGCAACGGTCACAACATATGAGGTCGCCGCCTTCCCCACACGCGTCGCAAGAATCATGATTGTGACCTTTACCAGGCCTCTTATAATACGGATGTTGCGGCTTCTTCGGCTTCTGTGTGCTCACGTCCTCGTCAGGAGGCTTTATCAGGGCACGAATGAGCTAAAATACATCCCAAAACATTCTTAAAGAAACCTTTTTTCACGGAAGCTGTCTCATAAAAATTAGCTCGCTAAAATGGCGCCAGATACCAAAATCAAGTAGCTGTAATATTCAAACTATCTATAATAAAGTTTTAAAACAACAAACCGGCATAAGCCCGCCTGAAGTATCGAGGTCATAGCCAACGTTAGACATTGTTACACCTCACAGTATCTTCAATTGTTATTTTTATTTAGCAATTCAAACTAAAATCAAATTGTAAATGAGTGTACGGAAATTGGTTGAATTAGTAGCACAAACACACAAGACGAAATATTTAAGGGAGCATTTTGGATGGAAATTTATTGAATGAATAAATTTAATAAGATTTGGGAACAATTAAGAAAAAATAAAGTTATTTACTAAAGAAATACGATATACAGAAAGAACACCAACGACCGTCTACAAATATGGCCGCTAGATTAGTTCCAGGTTTATATTACGCACTTTTCTAACACGACAGAATACCCCGGACTAAAACACTTATGAACATTCACTGTACCTAACAAGATAGGCTACATTTTTGAATTATTCATGCTAATATTTCAAGAAATTAAGATACAGGAACGCGCTTAGGCGTGCGTTTGAGAGTTGACGGTTTTGACGTATGTCAAAAGCGAATAGAGAGGAGTTTTCTTCTTTTTAAGAATAAACGGTTACGGTTATTTAAAAATCTTGTATATTATAACTAAAAAAAAAATTTTTAATACTCAGTAAAATATTTTTATTATTTTCGGCCCATCAAATATAAAAAAATGAACAGGATGCTGGACTTTTATTAAATTGAGATTAGGTCAAGCAGTGGCTCAAGCAGTGGCTTTGACAAGTAGGCATCATATTACTGTGTACAAAAAAAAAGTATTATAGTGTGTATATTGCATCTGCCTTAATTGAAAAACCTACAAAATAAATGATTTATGACTACAATAAGTATGGTTTATATTGCACGGTTATTTTATACATTATTAAAGGTTATTTTACGAATTTATTTGATTAGTACCACGACCTGTGGCGCTTTCATTCAGAAATAGACAAACTGTACCGTTGTAAATAATTTAAAATAAAACTACAGCTTAGTAAAAAAGATGATGACGCAGTGACAGCTGAAATTAATATTAATTTGGACTGAACCATCCACTTCAGGCAATATGCCGTTTCAACGAATAAACAAGCATCCGAACATACATAGTTCCTCATTTTATTAAACTCGATAAAAATAAGAAATATTGAAATCGGTTGAGTCGTAGTGTACCAGGTTGCCACAGGTTCGATACTAGCGATGAAACATCGCCTGACAATCGACATAGTTATATAGCAACAACGCGCGCCAATGTAGTAAGACCCGTGTCGCGCGATGTTGCCAGACATGTCGACAGCGTCAACGTCACGGTACTTCACCTCAACCTCAATCGCGATCCATGACACAATCATTTGTGGCTTAGTGTATCCTTTGCTTGATTTTATCGTCAGGCTCGCAAGTGTAGCAAAAGGACAAACATGACCTTGTGGTAGACGTAAAAAAATATTTTATGATAATATAAATTGTAACAAAAAGTATATAGTATTTTACGAATAATTGAATGATGAAAATATTTTTTTTTCTTTCAATTGAATAACTATTGTAAATTAAGGCCCAGACTACACTACGTATTAAATTTTAAGTTTGATAAAACTACGCGTTTAAACTGCCACGGTTTCACTGTAATGTAGCCGAGTCTTAATAGTAAAGGTTTTGAAGAAATTGCACGTTTACAAAGAATATTAATTTGTTAAATATTTTAGTAGGATTGCTGATTGTTGTTGTTGCACATCACTATGGAAAAAACCGTCTCATACCAAAATACATGTAAAAAATTTGACGTTTGACAAATGCTGTCAGAAAACTACCAATTCAGTACAAAGGTAGAAATGAATTATTATAATATAATATTACAGCTTTAAATAATACATGTAAAATAATAATTTTTATGATAATAAATAAATAAAAGAAAAGTAAACTTAAATAACACGAGAAGTTTTCAAAAAGTTTTCTCAAAATTGCCCCATTAGATAGTGTAAATTAAATTTAAATCGCTGAAAAAAATACAAACGTTGTGTAAATGGTGATTTCGTTTTTCTTAAGTGGCATTTAATGATTTATTGGAATTATTTATTCCTTAAATTTGGCAAATATGTAGTAAAATGAGCCTTTCAGATGGCAACAATCATCTAACGGAAGTTGCCATTTCTATGACGTCATGGGCGGAGTTTAGTTGAAGATCGAATTCGGATTCGGTTGGCGGGCGCGGCCATCTTGGTGAATTAGTGACCTGGCGATTCGGTTTTAGTTAGTGAAAAATCATTTGTCATCCACAATGTCGGAAAGGGAAGATAATGTGTATAAAGCTAAGTTAGCCGAGCAGGCTGAGCGCTATGACGGTAAGTACATATTTTCGTTATATCTTCTGTAATAGGATGAAAAATCTATCGTATTTTCGCCGACAGTTGAAAGACGATTTGGTGATAGTTGAGAAAATTTCCAGATTAGAGTACCTCATAAGTCTTTGTATTGTAGTTTGTTGCAAGGACCGAACATAATACATTCAATTATGTTACTATATCGGCGTACTAACAAATCAATGGCATTCGTTAGGCTTGGTCAGCGATCGATGCGTCATCCGCCGGTGGGATGTCCTTAGGTTTTTTACGCTGATAAAACCATGAGAAACTATGCAAGCACTGTCTAAACCTCTAATTTTTCATAATTCCCATTTTTCATTGTCTAAAAACGATGACTTGAAGTGTTTCAATCGATACTTTTAGATGTGGAAGGAAAAAAATTAACTCCCTATTTTTTCCGACCAGGGGAAGTAAAATGCGATCGATGTCATTGGATTCGGTCATGCATGTCGTACCTTAGGCAAATCGCTTGATTAGACCTATTGGAACGTTCTGGGTTTGTTAGGTGGCGTAAATTTATGTCGCCTCCGATTTCACCTATTGTTCACGATTTAGTTGCACGGGAATCTTACCTGCGAGGTTTACGCTATCGCGTTCATCTTTTTTGAATGACACGGTCATAAGTAAGGGCATCACTCGCTGATTCTTTGTAGACCTTCACGATATTTTACACCTTTATCCAGTATTACCCAAGTAGTGCAGTTCAATGACCTTTATTACAATTATCATTAAAATACACCAAATGCTATCTTATCAGGCCAGCTACTGGACTCAGGAAGGTTATTTGTCCCAGTTCAATAAAAATCTTAGGTTTATTCATTTACCTTGATAAAAGCAATTAATAAATCAGTGCATATTGTTATTCATTCAGGAAATTTACTATATTGCACATGCCTACTACTTTTAGTTAAGTACAAAGCAAAGTTAAATAAAAGATCTGCTACATGTGTCTATTCCAGATACTTCCATTGCTCAATTCTCTAATTTTGTGTCATAAAAAGTAACATTATGATGTAAAGTGTACTGAAAGGTTAACAGACCACACCCTTCTCTCAGGTGGATAATAAATCTCCCAAAAATGTCACCTGATGCAGTAAGTAATAAATCAATAAGTCGTCAGGCTGACAATGACACATTTTAATAATGAACATGAATAATTGAGTTATTAAAATTCTGTAATAGTAGTAATAGGCAAACAGACCACTTGTGTTTAGGTTAGTCATGCAATGTAGTCATGAAAAGCTAATATTGATCATCTTTCATGTTCATACAGAGTTCTGAGTAGCCACATATTATTACTAACTACAAAAATAGCAAACAATTTGATTGTAAATGGTATAAATGTTCAAGTGATGATACTTCATTAAAAATTGTAATTAATGTTTATAGAGAACTGTTATAATAATGAGTGGCTCCCATTCTCAGCACATTTTCATAATGTTGCCAAGCAATCTAGTTTTAATTACCACTTTCTATTATGTACCTCATAATATTTGAATGAAACTTGGAAATTACAAGTTTCTATATGATGGCAAAATTATTTATTATTGTATTTTATGCTACAGATTTTGCCATAATCATCGTTTTCATCTTTTTAAGATGAATTCAATATATAAAAACATGCTTATTGTGCTGTCCACAGAAAAGCAGTGTCTGTGGGTAATGAATTCTGCACCTGTTTTAATCACAATGCAAACACATTTATTTAATGTAGGGGTTGAGAATTCAATACGTGAGGGCTTGCCTTTTGTGTTGTTAGATGTAACAGATTTGTACAAAATAACGAATGTTTACTCATACAATCAATGTAAATTGTTTTATCATCACTTCCTGTCTGATTCGACGTAATCCGGAAAGTCGCATAATCACTCAGCACGAATTGACCCGCTGCAGATATAAGTACACGAGGGCTTATGCAAGACGCAGTCAATGCGACCAGGTCACCTCTTTTTATCGGAAACTCCATCTACAAAAATGGTCAGGTTCCGTGGCGTGTTCCATTTACCCAATGTCAACAATTTTAGCGCACGCATACTAATTGGAATTTTTGCAGAGGACGCTATTGCGTGAATAGCTAGAATAACGCTACGAATTAAAAGGATATTGTCCTAAATAGGGTAAATGGACGGGGCGCAGCTGGCGTGGCCAGATTCTTAAGATGGCGTCTACTCGACCGCAAACATATCCCTAAATAATTTCATAACTAGGGAGATCCCTTTTTGTTTTACGATCACTCAGAGTCGCCTGAATAATACAATAGGGCCTACTCCAATGTTTTTTTGTTTGAATATGTACTCGTCAGGCAAAATGTAGTGTTATTTTAGTGTCCTGTTTTATAATTCAGTTATTCGAGCAGCTAAAGAGAATCGCTATGTATCAGCTGTGACCCCGACGACTTGAGGATAACCGCATGGGCCGTGAGGGGTCGCTTTAGCACCTGTTACATGCAGGCTCTGCCGCGGTCGCTAAAATCGATTATTATGAGCTCTGCAACCTGCCAACTATCGCTAAAACTGTATAAAACTTGTTTCTCTAATGCTTTGTTCGTCCTGAATGTAAAATGAGCCGTATGCGTATATTTCCGGGATTACATCTGCGCCATTCGTCCTAATGCGCCAGTAATATTGCAGGACTATCGTAAACGTCAAAATTAAAGCACATGTCTGAAACATTACTTGGCTCGCTACTCCGTCTGTGCGACGCCCATTCCCCCTCCCCTCTACTTAACGGAGACTAAGTTCCCATCGATAAAAGAATAATTTTATCTAAGTCGTCCGACATTCCGAGATAGCTGAGAACTTCGTAAAGAATCGACATTTAAGTATTTAGTCTGTGTCGCCTTACCATCAACTTATTTCTTTCGAATGGTTCAACAGTTAAAACTTCTAAATGAGGCGTACTTGCGCTAATACTTTATCGATCTCGCCATGACTAACCTTTCGTCGCAGATATTTTCACAGTGGTTACTTTGGGGACAAACTAGTTTAAATCTCACAGGTTTTTATGAACTGCGGTGTGAATACTCATATTCATTAGGTATGTTTTACGTCAATGGTTAGGTATATTAATAGATTTATATCACTTATGCAGGTAACAAAGTTGCCGATACTTCAACAATCCAAATATAATCCTTATTCATTTCTCGAAAATGTTAATAGCTTTCCGGTAGACATTGTACGCTCGAATTACATGTCTACTTAAGAAAAAACAGCTGACCAAAGGAATATTTATGATTGAACCCGCGTGGGTGTACCCACGCAATCAATTCTAGAACTGACAGTGTATGTCCTATATTTCAGAAATGGTGGAGGCGATGAAAAACGTAGCCTCGCGTAACGTATCCGACAATGAACTTACAGTGGAGGAGAGGAACCTGCTCTCCGTCGCCTACAAAAACGTAATAGGTGCCCGCCGTGCCTCGTGGCGGATCATATCCTCCATTGAACAGAAGGAGGAGACCAAGGTAAGCTATCCGTTATCCAACCTTTATGAACTGTTTAAAATACTAGAATATAAAAAAGCACCAGAATCTTTCCCATTACGTCACAGACTACTCGACAACTTCTATGGCTACCATTATTCAATTTCCAACTAAATACTATGTTAACTATGTACAAAGTTTTTGCAGAACCAAGTGTGTAAGTATGAAGCAATGGTTGTAGGTATTTACGCTACAATGTGACCGTCCCTTTATAATGTCTGGAGTGTATCGATTGGTGTGAGTGACGCGCGTGTATTGCTTATAGTCTGTGGTCGGGACTCTGGATATGACGCGGGTTAGTTTTTCTAACGAAAAGGCACCCGTTGTTATTTAATTCTAATTGTTTTTAATATTTTAGTGCACATAAGTAAAGTAAATTGTATAATTAAATGCTAAGTGGAATTCTAATACATTAATCAATACCACAATTACCACGTTTTAGTTGGTTAGGATAAAAATCTCTTACTTTATTTATTGCAATATAAAAGTAAATATGTAGGTAAAAGCGAGTTAGAATTGCTCGCAGCTCCAGTAAAAGTACTCGGTAACTAAATCAATACGAAGCCTGTGAGCTTTCATTAGGTGTTAGTGGATTCTCCTTCACGCGAAGGTCTCGGGTGATTGATGACATTATTGCATCAAGGAGAGCTTTTATGTCCAGGACCTATTGATATTATATTTTCATAGAAAGAAAAACATCTACAAAATGCAATCAATAATAGGAACAAATATTGCATAGCGGGTTCGACACGAGCCACTGACTTGATTTGCTATTTTTTATTATGTCACTAACGCCTATTGTAGTCAGCCGACATACTTACGGGGGTATAGTCTAGCCAGCGCCCAGCGGGCTACCCGTCGACCCCATTTCGTTTACGTAGGTACTGTCTAAGAGAACTGGGCGTTGCGCTAGGGGTAGATACGTACACGTGTTTGCATACCGGTCACATCTTTCCTTTGAATGTTACAGATAATGTATTGAATGAGCAAATTAACGTCATAAAATAACATAATATTTAAATGCGAATAGGTGATCTAACTTGATGAATTGTGCGAGCCGCGTTCCAAACTAAACGTGTGGCGTAGCAACTCGATTCTATGCCAGCTATACTTATAGAAATAGCAGATCGTAAAATTAATTTAAAGTCGCGCGCAGGGTTTCTCTGTCATGGTCAGCTTTATGACCACTTTCCTCATACATTTTTTTCCGAAACAGTAAAGACGTATACGTGTTCTGACATAAGGGCTAATCACATAAAAGCTAACTTGTTATTTTATTGCTTGTTTTTTATGGGATAAATTGCTTGTATAAGTAATTACTGAATGAATGTTGAATTAGGAATCTCCCAATGGTTTGTAATTTGAATTCATCTCATTACGTAGTCTGCAAGTCTTACAGACGATACCAAGATGTCTTACTCATACAATTAGAGGTTCAACGACCAATGATAACTTTCATAGTAACCTTGTTGGAACTCGACCAAATTGTCCAGCTCTGCGTTAATGAGATAATATGATAACAGGGCTGTCTGACGTCCCTATTGTGCAAAAAAATCTTGGCCCCGACTACACGTTCCAATTTTTTATGCGGTCGTCACGTATTGATTTCAAAACCTGAACTCAAGGCAACGGCCAACGACTAATAGTTAGCAAAAAGGTCACCGGCATGACGTGTATCTAGGGAAAACAGCGGCGTAGTCAACCCTATACGAATGAGTCATTTTCCTCATTACAACGTATTTCGGCGTCATCTCAATTCCGTTTTTGTGTCACTCTCGGATACGAAAACAAGTAAAACGTGTTCATGGTCTTTCCTACGAAAATCTGAAGCTAATAGGTGTTAAAATAATTTTGTTACAGAATTATTAGTTGGCCATTCTAAAAGAATGACAAATGAATATTAACTGCTGTATTGTTTAATATATGCACGATGTGCTATAAATGGAAGAATAGGAATAGTTCATTTGGTATCGGTAGTCGGTACTTTACGATTACCCTCATCCTAAGTTTACATACTATGCAAGGCGTTGTCTTTTTAGCAGTGCTCATTTTCTTTGTAACTCAGACCTAGACTAATTAATTACCATAATTTTATCGCGTATATTATATTTTAACACTTGGACTGACTGATCAGTGAACATATGGGACAACTGTTGATTCCCTGATTTAATAAACAAGACCAGTGTCACACAGGAGGCACACAAACAGCAGTGACCTGCAAGTTAATTGTTACAATACATTTGTCATTTAACTCTGCCAATACTGACGCGATAGGTCGGCTCTTGCAGTTGCAGTCTACGTGTATTTTACGGTAATTTTCAGTTGTACGGCGCCATGACACAGTCGCCGTTAAGGTCGAGCTCGTATTGATCGAGCCTTAAAAAGTTGTGGGAATCTTAATTGAATACTGTTTCTGCCATGCTAAATAGATCATTATATTTTTTATTACACCTGAGCTTGATTAAAGAAACTTGTTCTCTCGCTGCAGTTTTCTAAAATAAAGTTTTTATAATGAGAAATCTACATTGGCAAAAAGACAGCGAAATCTACATTGTCTTTTTTGTGACACTAACAAAAACTGGTTGCATTCCGCAAGCGAACTAGAACATCATCACACTTTTTATTGTTATAGTTATACAAAGGTTCATGATCGATAGAATACACTTACATTTGATAGGGATAAAGAGACTCCGGGTATCTATAAGAGTTATTCCAGATCAACGAAAATCTATGTACACTCCCAAAACGATTAATTTCGTAACTGTGCAGTTTGCAGTGTATAGTAAAACGTCATTTAGTATTCATATTGTATCCACTATAAACTTTCCGTAATTGTATATTGACACGAAATCACGTAACCTGCATACAAGTTGCCACTAAGTGGCATACGTTTGAAAGTCAACGTCATATTAAATCGATGGTGCCCAAGTTACATAATTTCAAAAATAACATATTTTACTCCAACCTTTACCATTTTAAATGATAAATTGTTAGCTTTCAATTAGTAAAATGCTTGTTAGTTAAAGTTCTAGAATTTTCACCCAGAGAATATTATTTTTATACAATAAGTTGCTACATAAGTGTAAAGTTTTCTAGACGAGAGCGATTGTTTGAAGCTTATTCATCAAATGTGTCCAATGCACCGGACACCGCATCGGAAAAAGATGCATCATTCGCATCTTTATAAAACTTTCTCTATGAGAAGCTCATGATATAAACGGTGTTGTTAGAAGAAATTGATACTTAATACAAAATATTTTGTACAAATGTCTAATAAATCTCGTTAGGTTTTACAGTTTAGTAAGTACAGACAGATTTACCGTATCATGTCTCAGACTAAGCGCTGCTTTCAGTAACGGTATAGGATTCCGTTTGCTAGTGAAATTGGATCATTCGTCAAGGTTTTATTTTTTGGTTTTTATAAAGCTCACAAAGGCGGTTCCATCAGTGAGTGGTTTTCCTAAATAGTGTCGTGTCAGCGTTACCTGGGGCCTGTGGGTGTAGGTTGAGTAAACTCAGATAAAAGGATGTATTGTGTAATGGGCGTGGCATGGCACACATTTACCGAAGACTATTGTTTCTTTTTTTTTCTCTTAACGATATTGAAAGTAATTTACATGTAACAAAACTAATATCTGAACTAGAATTATTATTTTCGTAAAACTACATGTTCAATTCTTTAAAGAAAATTGATACATATGATACATAACGATTGACTTACTAAGCAGGCCTGTTGGATTACTTTAGGATTATATCATTATTATTCATTATACATAATAATTAACACGCGATGTAAGTGGGTTAGGTGAGGTAGTTCCCTAGTGAAAAATGGCAAACCTACAAAATTACAACTTCGTAAATTAATGAAATTTAAATGAATGAACTTTAAATTCACAAAGGCATAATCGAATATTATAGCAATATAATCATTCTGTTGATAATTATGTATTATATTTGCGTAATATTATAATGTAGTTATTCTTTATGGAAATAAGATTTAAGTAAAAGTATAGAAAGAAAGAACTAATGATAACGCTCATACAAATTAGTGTCCGTACATATGACTGTTTCATAAAACGAATCCACTCGGAACTAATAACAGCTAATGTGTTTTAAATAATTCATAAACTTATCGCCACACACTCATTAAGAACTCGTTTAAGGAAAAAAATAGTAGGCTTCCACCATCTTCGAGTTAAAGCGGATTTTATTGAAATCACGTTCACTAGACGTGTTAGATTAGAAATGCATGCTGCATACGGAATGAACGTAGTAACGTATACGTTTAATCAAACGCGAAATCCAATGCATTCTATGAATACGACACTCGACCATTCAAACTAATCAAATGACAAAAGACTTGCGCACAGAGCGACGTCGTTGTCGAGATATTCTAAATCTACACTGCAAGATGCAATCGCAATATTATACGGATGTGATCAATTGCAGGACGAGAATCTTCTGGACTGTAGTCTGTTGAAATAAGAAAGATAGTGTACTATCTTTCTTATTCTACTGATGCATGCAAAGGTTTGGGACGGTCTATGAATGTATTTATGGGAATAACTGGTAAACTTTTAATTTAACTTGTAAGGATGGTTTCCCAGAACATTTCTTTCAGACAACACTGCTGATCCAAGTATTTTTACTATTGATGCAACGAAAAATTAAATTATTATATCATAACAAGTGTGGTGTTGATATTGTTCCAGGGAGCAGAAGGCAAGTTGAACATGATCAGGGCGTACCGTAGTCAGGTTGAGAAGGAGCTCCGTGACATCTGCTCAGACATCCTCGGCGTCCTGGACAAGCACCTCATACCCAGCTCACAGACCGGCGAGTCCAAAGTCTTCTATTACAAAATGAAGGTAAATAAATAAATTATGAAAGTACGTTATTTGTTATCAACGGGTTACATGTGTAGTTCCATACACTACTATTAAATCGTCATAATTATAGTTCAAATTATTGGTTTAAAACTAGCAACAGGTTACAAAAGGAAAACTCAATCTACCTCTTAATTATATAATCGAGCATTGGATCATATTTTATTCAAATGAAATGTTACATTTCATTGTCATGTCTATAAATATCTTCACCTACTAATTAACCTGTAATAATTGCATGGTATAACTATAAATAGATCAGTTAGAGTTACTAGTATGATGATTATAATCAAGCTAATATTTGATTATTAAGAGTTTAATACCTTCATGATATTACGTCTATCCTTATTTGTATCCCGGTTTGGATGACGTAAATGCGACGATAAATTTTCCTAAAACTTCAACAATCGCTGTAAGCTTATAAGAGTTCAGTGATGACGCAATTGAAAATTTTGAAAGGATTTTTTGTTGAAGGTATGAAGTTACAGTCACGTTTTCTTAACAGCCTTAAGTTTAAATTGTTTAATTTATGTTTTGTATTGACATTTGTGTGCTTTGTGCTCCAGGGTGATTACCACCGATACCTGGCGGAGTTCGCGACCGGCAACGACCGCAAGGAGGCGGCCGAGAACTCGCTGGTCGCGTACAAGGCCGCCTCCGATATCGCCATGACGGAACTGCCCCCCACCCACCCCATACGTCTCGGCCTCGCGCTTAACTTCTCAGTAAGTACCACTATATTTGTATTAGATAAGATATCTATAATGCGTCGTCATCGCCGAAGCTGCTTAGTGACAGCAGATGGTAACTACTCCAATTATGGTTCATGTGTCATTTACTTACCTACCTATAAGTAGAATGTGTTCATAGATCGAGAATTAGCTAGAAAACTTTATTATGAACTGTAGAAAGAATTAAATTGCTATGATTTACTGAAAATATCTTGGCTGTGAATAACAGGCCGAAGATAAAAGTATCATAAAATGTAATAACGAAACATGTTATAAATACAATCGTATGCAGACGTCACCTTTAACAATAACTTAATATTTTTGTAGAAGTCCCATTGTAATAAAAAATATTGTTGGATAATGAAATCTGTTCCAACTTTGTTAAAATCCATTTTCGGGGGCTTTCTAATCAATAAATGTACGATATCTTCAATAGACAAAAGCTTTGTGCAAAAAATAAATGAACTAGTTGTTCAAATCTGATCCTGACCAAGTACAATACAATGTAAGGCGCATGTAAGGACTTACGACGCATAGCTCTCAGGTGACGCGCACTATTCGTGTGCATAAACATATTTACAGAGTTAATCACGGCGCCACGTCACCGCGTGTGATGTCACGCCGTAATGGCATAACAACTACTGCGGGAAAATGTTCAATGGCATACAGAGAAATTTATGAATAATAAATTGTTTGTTGAAAGTTCTTAGTCCACGAATAAAACTGCGTCATATCTAATAACTTATGGCAACTTAGCCTCGTATATTCTAGATGTTAAAACACCGTCCGAATATGGTTTCCAGATGACAATACTTCCTGCAAAGTTAGGCACGGTTTCTTTTATTATAATACTTAATTGACCGCCCGTCTTGAACCTTGAAGCGAACGGCATTGCCTTATTTTTTCTACAGGAAGGCTAGAACTCAAATCTAAACCAGTATACAATGATGTCATAAAAAGGTTTATTTGATTGACCTAACATATTACTTATCTTCTGGATTTTCATTAAAGTCTAGCGATATTTGATTAGAAAGGATAGCCAATAAGTATAATATTCGTAAATAGGTAGAACGGCATTGCATGCCTGTCGTAAAGGTTCCGCTATTATTTGCCTTTCAGACATACCCTTTGCATGAATTAGAGTTACTCGTAAAAATATAATAAAAACTCAACGAGCCAGACTTTATGGGAGTGTTACGGCACTGTCTACTGAGTCTGAACTAGTTACACATACAGATGCTCATTATATCGGTTTGGAGGTCTGACGTATCCCACAGTGGACAAAGTTATGTAACATGTGAAACTGAGTACGTTCGTACATAAAATATAAAGTATATGGACATGTAATGTAAGTAAGAAATAATGGAATATAAATCTAAAATGTAGAGGATGTGCGGAGTTGTGCCATCTGTTTTATGTTCCGTAATTTATTCGCCATAACGTCGGTACTGCCGATCTTAATTTATGCGGTAGCCAGATATTTGACAGTTGTTAACGACTGATTGTTTGCGATACATTCAGCGTAGTGTACACGCGTGCAGGATTATACAACTACAGTGTCAGCGCTTTGAGCAGCTCGATAACTGACCGAGCTCGAGTTAACGCGCACGCGCGCCAATTTGTGCAGACGTCTAGCCTTGCTAAATAGCCACTCCGTACCAATCTTTATCAATTACTTGTCCGCCCTATGAGTACCAGTTTCCGCGAACTCCTTCCCAAGGCTTAGTCGAATGCAAGGATAATTGAATAGCTAATATAATACTTGTATGGTAATGTAATGCGCGCCTGAATTAATGAGCCACTGACTAAATTGATGACCTTCATAATATTATTAATTTATTATTTATGTATCATACTCGATTTTCTCCGGAATGGTGCGATCTACGCGTTTGTAGGATGACGTAAATTTTATTAAATGTCAGAAATCTTATTATACGATGAACCCTAATTTCTAATGTAGCGTAAATGTTATTTGCAGAGGATTTACATTATGCTTCGGTGCCTGGTTTCTTACAAAAGACAATTCTATTAATAATTTCAGCTAGTTTAAAATTAACGATTTCTTAGCGATTGTAGTGAAATTGTTGAGAGCAGTTTAAACGGCGTCACTGGCGATATCAATAATCCGTTGGTTGGCGCGTCATGCGATAACTTATCTCATATTTATCTTGGCAACCGCTCGAGTTCAAGGTCGACGGACATTCCTAATTTTTATGAATTGGAAATTAGTTTTTTTGGATAGGTATTAAAAACTAAACTAGTCTTGATACGTAGTATCACTAACCGGTCTGTGATTTTGGTGTAACGCGCAAATTGATATTCATATGAAGTTTTCTCAATTTACAGATCAACGTTTTCTATGAATTTTATTTAAACTTCAAACGCCAAATCTTAATTTTTTATATTCTTAGTCTTACGATGTCTGACAAAGACAACAGTAGTTATAATGCAGCCACTACGAATCAGCACCACTTACAGGAATACTAATAAATTTATTGTTTCGTACAGGTATTCTATTACGAAATCCTGAACAGTCCGGACCGCGCGTGTCGGCTCGCGAAAGCCGCGTTCGACGACGCGATCGCCGAATTGGACACGCTGTCGGAGGAGAGCTACAAGGACTCCACGCTCATCATGCAGCTCCTGCGGGACAACCTCACCCTCTGGACGTCCGACATGCAGGGCGACGGAGAGTCCGGTCAGTAGCAAGTCAGCACCGCATGCTTACCTAACCTGTTCCCCACACCTACACATCCCCTATACCTTATCCATGATCTCTTCCTTCTCACATTGCTTTTGAATACCAAAAAAAAAGATATTGTTTGTTTTTATGTAGCTTGCTTTATCTCTAATAGTTCTCTAGAGTGGTCTTGGAATGCAGTGGGCTATAGAATATATATAGATACAAATAGCAATCTTATCACATTTAGAATAATATTGTTGCTATATCTATCTGATTAAATCTATGCATGATAACATCTGTCCAGATTGTCTTAGATAAAGTTATGTGTTCACATCTAACTGGAATAAGAAGCAGTATAATTTAAAGTTGGTAAAATTAAATGGCAAACACGCTTACTTAAAAAGTTATCTATTTAACATTAGTACATGATTGTAACCTCGTTTGTTTGTGTTTCAGGTGAAACGGAACAAAAGGAACAGCCGCAGGATGTGGAGGATCAGGACGTGTCGTAATACTTTTTAACATTCTATTTAAATATAATAAAAAAAATAACTATAGTATCACGTAAGACCCAGCCCCCAATGACAACCGGTTGTATGGTACTCCTCCACACACCTCGCCCCCCGACGTAAATTGTCAGTTCCAGCCCAGTTGTACACAACACGCATATTGTATACATGATAACGTTTCGTTTATGTATCGTGTCAAATTATCTACGAGTTATATACATTAATGTGTACTTCTTTTGATATATTTGTTTTCAATTACGAAAAAAAATAATGTTTAAGAAAAACGTACTTTGGTATTGCATTTTAACTGTATGTGTATTTTCATAACTGTAACCACTCGATGGATCTCTCGCCGTCGCCTAGCGCGCCGCGCTGCGTCTAGTGCACTCACTTCCGACTTCCGTGCGGCTACTTCTTAACGTGGGAATTGTAAATTTTCTAAGTATTTTATACCGTGTGTAAAATTAATGTATTTAAAAACTCTGTTGATACTTGAAACAAGCACCGTAGCGTCGAGGATGTTTAATGACATATACAAACAAATATGATAACGATATAATAGTTGGATACATTAGCGAGTTGCGTATCGTCACGTATGTCGATATAGTGTTTACTTTGTAATCGCATCTCCGTGTTGATTCGGTCTGCACAAATAGTAGTTTTATACAATGGACGTTTAATCTCGTGGCTAGGTTGTTGTTTTGAGACTGTTGCTAGTTTGTATTAGTCGGTTCCGGAGCGGGGAGGCCCCGGCGCGGCCGCAGCCGGACGGTCTCTGCGAGCGAGTCTTCCGCGCCCTCGCTGCATTTGTATACATTGAATCATTTATTGATATATTTTAAACGATAAACGTAACATATTAGGGTGGTAATGATGTAGTAACTTGCAATATTTAGCTAAGTGATAGCGGCGTCACCCTGTTGGTCTTTGTGTATCTATCTCGTATGTATCGTACATGTATGTATTTATTGCAAAGGATAAGTTGGTGTACCTTGTGACTACTGTGTAGTACCCGCGCTCGCGAGTCGTCACTGCGCTCCGGCCCGTGGCCCGTGGCTGAGCTTAAATAGATTAAAGACATGTCGATGTACCCGCGCTTCGTTCGTTCGTATTACAACATTTGGAGTATTCACATTTGAATTGCTTTAATTACTTACGAGTATTGTGATAGAGATTTTGTATATTTTAATTTATTTTTTTTAATTTCGCAAGTTCTCGAAAATTGCTGTAGCGCTACATCTCTTACGATTTTACAGGACAAACAGTAGTTCTAAAAGTTGTGCTAGGTTAAGGTAATGCACTTGGGGAAATTATTTATTTGATGCGCGTCGCGGACGGCCGCGACCGCGACAGTAATGCCTACTCGAAGACATTCCATCTTCACGATACCTGTTAACTAAATATCTGGCCGATGTTCGCTGAACTCCAAATTGTAGTGTGGCATAGCGGCGTGGAGCAAGTGCGTGCCCGAGTAAGATATTAGCGTTATTTTTATTTGAATTTGTAATATTGCATATATTTTGTTAATTTATCCACAAAAATACTAATGCAATTAGCCTTAGTGTTATGCAATATTGATTTATGTCCTACCAACTACATGGAAATTTATTGTAAATGACAGTGTAAATCTAATAATAAAAATTCAAAAGTCCAAAATATTTGTTTTATTGAATTTTTTATTTATGTTTGTACCCTGAACTAAGTTCTTATGGTACCTGGAAGGAACCAAAAAATAAACATCATTTTCAACCCAAAGACAGTTCTACTCTCAAACGAACCTATAAAATATTGCTGATGATGTTTCAAGACTAAACAATCAAGGAGGATAATTTGAAATAAATGTGAGTCCGATGGGAATTCTTTCGAAGGAACACCCATGCAATTTTCAAGCATATGGAACTTGCAAAGCTTCGTGGCTTGTCAGAAGAGAAATTAATAACTTATTTACTAAAAAAATACATTGTTGGTGTACAGTTTGGGCAGCAACAACATTCCGTATGAGACACCATGATTAATAATTGGTTATAAGAAAGAGGGGTAGGAAATAATTTTGAACCACATTTTGTATGAAGCAGTTCTATTACTTCTTACTATTATTTCAGAATCCGTTTATTTCTCACGGAGACTGCCATGTAAGAATATTTCCTACTCACATTTTTTTAGGGTTTATATTAAAAATACCAGCAAAAAATGACGTACAACAACATCACACCTTTTAACCACGAAGGGGTAGGCGGAGGTGCACATTACGGCACTGCCACTACAATGTAACATCTACTTTTCACTATGTTATGAGTCCCATGTAATAGGGGGTGAGCCTATTGCCATATACTGGGCACAGTTCCAGACTCCATGCTACTACTGAGAATTTAAAAAAAAAACAGTAATATCTACTTTGCCTGACCCGGGAATCGAACCTGACACCCGTTGGCCCGTTGGCCGGCAGTCGCATTTGCGACGAGGCGGTAGGTAATGATGTATTTTCATGGAAACTCAAATGGCATTCAAGAAATACTAGCGACCCGCCCCGGCGTCGCACAGGTGCAATATGCATGTATTATACATATTCTTTGTTTTATACTATGTAGTGATATACCAAAAAGGAATAGAAATAATAATAGCCGTAGGTATCAATAAGCCGATTTCAAGTCTTGACGTTTAGGATTTCGAATAAATTCTAGTGCGACTACAAAATTTAAAATACATACCTAGTCTAAAAATGGAAAAGTCAAATACAGAAACACAAACCGTGCAGACAATATGATTACAAACAGGTAAAGAGAAAAAAAACTTAATATGTATCTATTGCTACTTAAATTTGATGCAAGCATCTTACTCATCTCTCGTACACGTTTCATCTCCTCTCTGATTCAGTGGAAAGTGTTCGCGGAGTTGAGAAGATTTATATTAAAATGTATGGTGCGGTGTCGACCTTAGTGGAGCTGAGCCGAGCTGGAAAACAAAATGTAATCACAGCCCAGTTCATTTTGTCTCCGCTTGGCTCTACTTGACCCAGTTATGTATAACTGCTCAGGTCTGCACCGCTCATCTCTGCGCAGCTTTAGTGGGAATACCTACCGCTTCACACGATTCTGCTTTGCACAGTTCAGGTTCTGTGGAGCTTCAGCTTCCACAGACGCGTAGCTGGGCGGAGAGGAGCGGTAAAAATTGGTTAGTGTTTCCACTGAAGCGGAGCGGACTCAAAAGGAGTACAGCGGAGCCTACTTTTGGAATGTATTATTGAGCTCAGTTACAATCATTCAGAAACACCATACGTCATATGGTCGTTTAAAAAGAAAAAAATACAATTATTTTATATCTTCCTCTACTTGAACATGAAGATATCAGATGCCGATGCATTGACTGTTGCCCCCGCACAGCACTGGCCCGCTGTCCTCCGCTCAGCACCCCAATGCTCGTTGTCCTCCGCACGGCATCATCTCGCTATATTTTTATTATGAACTAGCTTCTGCCAGCGGCATCCCCGCGATCCCAGGGGTAAAATGCCTATGTATCACTTCAGTCAGACCATGATCTACCTCTGTTCCGAATTTCATTCCGGTCCCTTCAGTCGTTTTAATGACTGAGTAACAAACATACACATAAACTCACATATTTTCATTTATAATATCGAGTCGAGCTAATTTCAACCATTGGCCCTACATTTACAGCGTAAAGTCTACGGATGAGTATTGTAAACGTAAGAGTAAACAAATATAAGCAGAAAGCTCCGAACTGCTAAGCTATCGGGAGCTACACGTGTTATTGTGAGTCAACCATAAAAGATAGACGTGTGCTGTTGTGAAATATTATTTAGATAATTTTATATGTAGAACATTTCCGTCATACATGATTTCTATGAAGCTTTAACTATCTATATAAGAATTAAACTCTCTACAGATTTATTATAAGTGCTCCACCCTGCTCATGCTGTTTCCATTAAAGCGGAGCAGAGATTTCGACCATAGTGATTGATCAATCCGTGTACTGCTAAGCTCCTCTCCGACCCGCTCCGTGGCAGTGGAAAGCAACTGATTTGCGATAGTAATGTTAGGTTATTAAGTTTTTTTTTGCATCTTGCAAGCAAAATATTAAATTATTAGTAAGTATTTGGGGTTGTGCGGTTATAAAATAACTTTAACATTGAAACCACAAATAGAAGTGTAATATTGTTATTTATTTATAGCAAAGCAGGATACAGCATATACATTTCACTTACAAATATATGTAGATAAAGCAGTCAATGAGACGGGTGTCAACATCGTGAACAACTCTTTGCTAGGAAATCAATATTTTTAACCAAGAAATACAAGATAATAATATCATCCACATCAAGATTGAAGCTTTATTTTAATTATAAGCACAATCACACATTTATAATTTAAACGTTGCTTATGCGCGCAAAGCTTCAGATGCAACATCTAAAAGCAAAAATTAAAACAATATTTGTCACATTTAATAGTACCTATAGTCATACAGTAAAACATCTACCTATCACAAAGTTTCGTAAGTACATTGGACTATACATTCACGCTAATAAATTATATCAGTAGCTTAGATCTTAAATTACACAGATTTTTAAACTCAAAATTAGACAAAATATATAAAACTACTTTCAAATTACAATTTCATATACCTAGACTTTAGGAAAATAGCTTAAAATCAGAAGTTTCATACAAACGTGGCACAAATATGTACGCTACAATAAAACATATGATTATCTCTTAAAAATAAACCCTATTTGTAAGAACGGAGGACGAAGTTTTTTAGCTGATTTTGTCAAATAAACTTAGTAAAATAATTATTACACGTAATATATAATTAGCATCTTATTATATAAAACACCGTGTATCCAAAGCTCACTGGTTGTAACATAACCATTTCTTGAAAGAGTACTGTACTTATTTTGCGATTACATTTTAATTAGACCGTCATTCATCGAGATTACTAGAAAAATTAAAGACCTTGCTAATCACATAAAAGGTACGCTTATGTGAACAATTATTCAAATGTCATTTGATTAAACCTTGCATTTAGAATTATGAAAACAATGTTATTGTTATAACATCAATGTTACCATGTTTTCAACATTGAAACCATATGATTGAGAATTATTATTATTCGCAAATCGTATATAATATGGTAAGGAACATTCTGCTGTTATTTCATAAAGGCAAAGTGCAAAATGATACTTATAATTACGCGTATAAACAAAGTATTCAGTTGCGACTTAGTTTATAGCATATAAAGTTCTAATAACCACATACATGAAATAGGTGACTACTTTATAGTTTGAAGTCGACAGTCTATACTAATCAGTTATTCTTCTTTCTAAACTAACATATCAATAAATATATTAATTACTTCTCATACCTGTTATGTTTAATATATTTTACAAAAAAAATTCTGAAGATGGCTTCAAATGTCTGCATGTTGTGATTACATTATAACCCTAGAAAACAGAAATGTCACTTTACTGAGCTAAATGCTAAGCATACTATAAATGCAATACAAGTTCTATAAAAATATAATTTACCTGATAAATAACATTTGTAGCATGGCGAGCATACTACCTACCGTGTACCGGCCCGTCGCACGGCACGCGCCTCCTTCACCTTTCTCTCATGTCGCCAGTCGGCCGTACAAGCTCGTTTACGTTGTAACACTAATTTCCGATACTTATATAAAGTTATAAAGTGTAAACTTAAAATTGATGAATGTTTATAACCGTTACACAGTTAATTATTGTAATTAAAGATGTGCTTTTAGTTAATCGCCGCTAACCCGCGATTTTAGTTAATTTAATAGTGAACTAGACATAATGTTGATTTGTAGCTAGACTAGCATAGTACAGCACACTACGGATGAACAAACACAATATCAACATTTTAATATTCTATACTACACACTTGGTAGTAGCTGATTTTGTTTATATCATTTGTTAAATTACCACTCTTTACCTAAAATGTTAAGTACATACTATAAAATATTGACTGGAATATATTCTAGTTTGAATAAATACAGTTATACTTGACTACAAACATCGAAGTTACTGAAATAATCATTGGAGCTCACGTAAATGATTAGTGGCTTCATATATTTGTATAATAACCTCTACAAGAGAAAAATACATTATATTTTATTATCGAGCATCTTTTACTTATGCGAATAACTTGCATTTAAAGCTACTCTACCTATGATTGGTTTCAAAGTTAAAACTAATGAAAACAGGTACAGAAAGTATATACTCAACTTTCATGTAACTTTTAATTAATAAAAATAATAATATTTGACATTTTCCTATAGACGAAAATCTAAAAATTAAAATAAATCCCGTGCATTCCGTGGCGACATTTTGTGTAACGAAACTGAACCAGTTTGAAACTCGGACAAATCATAGAATTAGTAGAATATTTCTATCACAGATCGACGTTATTCAGATTAGACCCTGAGTGCGTGGGGAGGTCCTCATGAACTAGTAAGGTTCCGATGGGGACCACGGCATCATCTCTCTCCCGTAATTTCCTCATTTCATTCCTCAGTTTGTCGAGTACGGCGTAGTTGGGCTCGTTGTGACGTGCCTTGTCTTGTAGCAGAGTGATCTGTTGTTCCTCCAGCTTCTTCTCCTTGCAGCTCTTGACCGAGCGAGAGCCGTACAGACGGAGTAATGATCCCCAAGAGCGCACGTGTGGGTGCAGTGCCTAAGAGTATGATGAAAGGAATATATTGAAGTATTCAGATTTACTTTTATTGGATACAAAAGACGATAAGGAATTTGTACTATAGTGTACCTGTAGGATAGATTGCGAAGCTCGCTGCTTGGCCATCTTCTTGTTCTTGCTGATGACGGTGGCGGTGTGCTTGCCTACCTTCATCGTCAGCTCGATCTTCTGGTATTCCAGCTTCTTCATCTGTTAATTTACATTGTAGATACATAATGTAATACATATGTAAAATGGAGTGTCAGCCTATTGCTCTAATTGGGGGCGAGATTCACAGTATGGTAGTTACATTTCTGGCCATTCCATTGCCAAGACATCCAATAGTTTTTAAGGTACATTTAATCCATGGGTTACCTCAGTATGTATGTGTCGGTCCCCGGCTCCAAAGTTCCTGAGCAGACAGGTGCGCAGTATGGCGTGTGGCGAGGGCTCGCACGTCGCCGCGCAGAACTCCGTGATGCGCGGGTCCTCAATACCCACGTAGTCGAAAAACTGACAACATATTATAATTACTTATTTTGCTGTCTCCAACTAACAAGCGGTAATACAGGATCATTATTACTTAAAACTATTTTAATAAATAATGGTTTCATTAAAAAACATTATCTTTACTAATTTTGATTATTGTTAGGTAAGTATTGAACAGTTGGATTGGTAAATGAAATAGATCTTATTAAAATAAACATAGCTTTAATGTTTGTAACATTAAAACAAAAATGCAAATTCCTCTTTACAAATTATATAAATTAATACTCAATACAAGGCAATAATTACATTATTTATACCATTCATACAAATATAAATAACTGTGTTATAAGTTTAATGAAAAACCGTTTCAGGTACAGTGAGCCACTCCTTTATTTTAGGTTCTTGACATGAACATAGTAAATATTATTATGCAAATCAATATCCTTAAAAAATATGTGTCAGCAACTGTGAATAAATGTTACATTGTTGAGAAAAATACTTGCATTAACGTCCAATGTCCATAAAAAAGAACAGACTGTGGCACATTATACATATGGCACATAATAATTTTTATCACAAATTGTTCGATGGTATCATAAATGGAGTACAGAAGGTTCATAAGTTTACTGTGCAGTTACTTACGGTGAAGTCAGGCTCGTTAGCATCATTGGGCGCATTGTTAGGGGCGTGCTCGTCCAGCTCGTCCTTCATCTCGGGTATGAGTATATGTATAGAGTTTCGCGCGGCCGCAGACTTGGCCTGTCGCTTACTGGACCCGTGCCCCACTCCGTACTGCATGCCGCCGATGAATACCGTCGCCTGATACGGGGTTGAGGCATTCTCTGTGACAAAAGTAAACTTTATTACTTTGAATAAAATAAACAAGATTTTATTTATTTCCTTATGTTTAAGTGTCCTATGCAATGGTAGTGAACCAAATCTACTATTAATATCTGATAGTAAGCATTGAGCATCGTCAGCAAAGCACTTTATGGTAAACATTCAGCGTTGTCATCAATCAGATAGTCATGTAAGTTATCTACGAGTATGATGTACGTACCAAGTTGTTTGAACTCATAGACGGGTTGTTTCTGCAGAGCTCGGCGCACGTACTCGTGGAACACAGACAGGTAGCTGCGCCCGTTCATATTCATCACCCAGTCGCGCTTGGTGGTCTTACCACCGCCTGTAAACAACAAACAAAGTGTACTTTGGTATTTAGTGCTTTCGCTATACCACGAGAATTACAAGTGCGTTGCCGGCCTCTTAGAAGTTTGGGAAAATGCATTAAGGGTTCAGTAAACAATTTAGTAACATCATAGTTACCCGCATTCTCGTCCCCAGTGTTGGCTGGTTGCGCAGGGATAGTGATCAACTTGGTGCCTTCAGGTAGCGTGGGGTACTGGAGCGTCTTCCTAGCCTTCGTATATTTACGGCGATCAGCCCAACGTCTGGAAGAACACAAAACAACTAGAAACCGCTGATTTTAATGAAAATTTTACTTGCAATACATTTTTGAACCATCTCTAGCCAAATTAAATGATACTACTCACTTGAAATGCATGATATTAACGGTCTTAAACTTGAACAGGCGTCGGCAGTATTCATTGATCTGTTCAGCGGAGAGATGCTGCGTCTTCCAGCTGGTGCTGACAGTCTCCACCCGCGGCGGCGGCATCACTATACCTCCCGGCAATACTACCGGCTGTCTCCGCTGTAGGTCGAGGTCTGTGTTACTAGTACCCTCACCATTCTGCCTATTATCAGTAGATGTTCCAGGCTGATTTTCTAACTCCTCATTATTGCCAAAACTCACATTCCCTTGTCCATTAACAGGTTTTGTTTGTGGTACATCATCAGTTGTAACATCAGCAGTGAAGTCTTCAAGTTTTGGGTCTTCTTTCATATCAATATCACACTGTAGTTCCAAAGCATCGCCAGTCATTGCTGTACCAGTGCTACTATCCTGGCTGTTATCGCAGTAGTCTATCTTTGAAGACTGCGTGTTAATGACCCAAGTACCCGTACGGATCTGTTCTGCAATCCTTTTGTCAATTTCTTTTTGCTTCTCTTCTTCTTCAAGAGCTCGGCGGTAAGCGAAACATGGTATGGCGCTAATCGGTATATCATGACGCTGGAATAAAAGGGCTTAGTTGATTACTTTGCAACAAATAATAAAGATGATCGCGCAGAAAACTAATAATTCTTTACTATAAAGATGTCTTTGTTTAAATAGGACTTACCCGAGTATTGCCCGATCCAAGGAAGTAAGGTTTGGAGAGCGTGCACACCCTGGTGGTGCGGTGCATGTAGATGGGCATCCCACTGATGTGACGCACCATGATCCAGTCCAGGGGGAGCACTTCGAAGTGGTTCACACCCTTCTCTGTGGAGTTAGTTCCCCATTTAACACTTTACATTCACACTGGTTATAAGTAACGTACATTGTATTTGTTTTACACCTATTTCTGTTCACCTCCTCCACCTTTATCCTATGAAACTTCAGAGCACCAAACCTACATTCCTTACATACTTCTTCAGCTTCATTCATTCAGCATTCATAAATCTGATCATACAACCAATTTTATACAGAATGTATGGACATGACAATGGCTTCTATGCTTACCTTCTAGAACAGTAGTTTGTCTTGTTATGTATGCTTTCTCCTTCTGTTTGGGAGCACCTTTGAAGTCCTCCGGAAGGTCTTCCTCCAGCATCTTCTCAATCTCTTCTTCTGGCAGACCTTTGAATACATCTACCACTTTAACTACCTTGTAGACATTATTTCATTATTACAGACAAAAGATAGTTTTGTTGAAGTTTTAAGTATGTAATCAAACCAAAATCATTCAAAATATTTAAATACCCATTTAGTTTAACTATATTTAGCTAAGTATGTATTAGTTTGTGTAGACGATAAGACAGACAATTTATGTTTATTGTATGTTTACATTTACATTTAGTAAAGAAGATGACAAAAATTAAACATACTTGAGGAAGATTATCAGTGAATCTGTAACTACAACTTTGTCATACACACCTAGAATGAAGAAGGTCAAAAATAAATTGGAAAATACAATACTCCCTGATGAATAAGTATAAGATTGCATGTAACATAGAGGAGAAACAATCAATTGATTGATTACTGACATTGCAGGTAAAGAATAAACACCAAGATACATAAATAAATAAAAATAGTAGAAAATCTAAATAATATAGAACCAGCACATAATAAGATTAATTCTTTAACTGCAAGTATAGAAACATACTATCAGAGAGACTGAGCATGCAAGACAATACACACAAAGACAGGACTACCGTCAGAGCTATCAGATTCTTCATCATTGCTGTCCTCATCATTAGACTTGACTTCATCCAGCACCTTGAACTCTCTCAGCCTCTCTAGTTCTTCAGGAGTCACGAAGTTACCGTAGCTATCTTCGCTACCAAACTTTTCCTCCCCATTTTCCTGATTCTCCTTGAACATGCAGGAGGTACTGGCCTGGCAACTTGATGCTTCACCTTCATTCAGTCTTTGCTTTTTTGCCGCTGGCGCTTCTAATTTGGTTTCTTCACTCATCTCTCACTCTGTCTAAAATATTTATTACTTTAATTGTATATTTGCATTGATGATAGAAACCAGGATTGGAATATTTGTAGCTATTATCTGCACAAATAGAATTATTATTGTTTATGTTACTCATTCCTAACTGGGTGTGGTTTTACAGTTTCTAAGCATGAAATATTAAAAATGGTAACAAATATAAATTAATGTACACTGAATTGAAAATACAAACATTATTATATAGGTTTGGTGACATTAATTTGTTTTATTCAAAAGACTAAATCTGTTTTAGTAGTTTCCTGGCTCATTGTACTTAGGTACCTAGTGTCTGTGAAATTATCTAGTGGTTAGTAACTTGACTATACTGAAATAGGTACTTTATGTGATGACTAATCTGCTGCTGTTGTTGTTGCAAATACAGTGAAAGCGGGTCATGTTACAATGTGCTTCAAATGCAATTTGAGTGTCTTCCTTGGCACAAACATTTTATTGATTTAATACTACTTAGAGCTGAGTATGAGAATACAACCTAACGTGATTGTGTACAGCTACTCTTGAATTATATGATGACATAAATAAAGTGGGAGGAAGTACAGCCCTAACAGTATTCCAGCATTAAGTGTCAACAAACACCCGAAGGGTTTTTACCTTTGAGGTTATTCACATAAATTATGTTGGAGTAAGATAGTCCACAACTAGCGATGGAAATTAAAATCCAATGTGTATCAACAGTTGGATTCCAACCATCGCTCGATGTAAACTTTCGGTACTTAATTCTGTGACCGCGTGAAAGGCGTGCGCTACGGCCGCGGAGATGTGGCAGAGTTGCGCCAGACTAGAGCCTCTGATCGTTTATACAGAGTCTAATCTGTAGCAAAACCGCTTTTTAATACACCCGCAGGATACCACCTCGGGCAGCGCTGCTAATGTATTCCAGTGTTCTCTGCAAAGACAACTTGAGACTTGTGACTTGCAAAAAGGTCAAACCGAATAACGCTAAATTACGTTGGCTAAGTAAAGAATAAGCACTGTAAGCTAATTAAAACTACAAAGAAATTACCATGATTCATAACATTATGTACTGTAATCTGACCGTTTTGCAAGTGTGCTAGAAAATATTTTTACTTACGTGACCCGTACTCAAAACAACGAAATTTCAGATAATATAAATGGATTCGCAATGAACAACCTAGTTAACACAACGATAAATAAATCAATAACCAAAATATGTGTAAATAATTTACGATTCTATTCAAATATTCGGTAAATGCACAGAATTTCTTCTCTTATTCTTCTTATACCTATTTTTCTAATTTTTTTATGAGCTTGTGCTTGTTTTATCTATATTCTATCTCATCTCTCCTTTTTTTTGAACGATGAATGAATGACAGAATGAATGAAATGAAAGATATACATACAACTGAGAGATACCAGCTCTCGAAAATGTTTATCCCTAAAAATATATATTATGCCAAAAAGTTAAATATTTTTTATGGAATAAGAGGGAAACGAGCAGACGGATCACCTCATTGAAAGTGTCACAGGTGCGTTGCCGGTCTTTTAAAAAGGAATACCCTCTTATCTTGATGGTTTGAAGGTCGTATCGGTTTGAAAATACCACACTACCGACTACAGATCATTCCAAAACTTTATTTAAATCAAAAATGATGAAGCATGTTATACAACATATAATAGAAGATGATTATATTATTATATTTTGTTTGTAATTGACTGCCTCGTTGGCAGAGTAGTCGCAAGTGCGACTGCCGGGCAAGGGGTCTCGGGTTCGATTCCCGGGTCGGACCAATGTGTCCAATAAATAAATAAATAATCTTACATACCTACTACGTTTCAGTAGAGTTGTGTTATATGAATGGGTTATACAGAACATCATAAAAAAACTAATGAAACATTTTTTTTAACTTATTTTATTTGCGCTTTACAGTGTAACAGGAAATTATTAAAACAACACGATGATTAGTTGCCAGCCAATCTAAATTACATATTGTGGGCACTCTTGCGTTTATTATTATTGTAAATGATATGTTTATTTGTTCAATTTTTTTAATTTAGCCCCACAGTGCTAGTTCTCTGTTTTGGGTGTAAACAAACTCACACAAATAAAATAGCAGTAATATTTATTAATCATCTTTATTCACCACAGTAAATTAAATGTTAAAATAATCTACAATTTACCAATTATATTATTACACGACATGAGTCCTTATCAATTTAAGTATGTGACTAAGCACAGAAATTTAGTCACAAAAAATACATCGAAATAATATTTTCACTTACAACCTATGAACATTTATCACAGTGACTTGCAGCATTCGAGACATTCCATGAAAGCTGCATACTTTTACCCTCATATTGGAAAACGTGGCAAGTGTGGCAACCCTAGAGGAAATTAATTAAATTTCAAACCTCCATCTTTGATTGAATTTTGTTTTTTACAAATAAATAAGAGGATGTGATTGTTTGATAGCCACAGTTGTTAGATAGTCAGTGATAATTTTGTAAAGTACAATAAATATTTTTTTTTAATATTTTGGGCCACATAGATAGTTACACTACTTTTTAAAGACACATTTGCGTTTCAATCAATAAATATTTGAAGAATATACAGCCTTTTATTTTATTACATTTACGCAAGGGGTTTACATCAACATTAAATCTACATTTTTATTAAATTACAGTTAAATAAATTACACTACGCTTACACAAATTGGAAAAAACTGATTTGTATTATTTCAATCGGCTAAAGACAATCTATTTGTGTGTCACATCTATTGAAGGAAGTTTTTGTAGTTTAGTTGCTATGTAAATAGTAATAGAAGGTGTGATAAAATATTTTTACACAAATTGCCAACAACTATCACTTTACATCTCTATAGGCCTACAAAACGGCAGTTTATACGGTAATTTCATAGCTGAAGATTGTTATACTATTCAACAATGAGTTTTGATTAAAATAGTGGTATATTTAATGATATAAGCGTAGTGTCACAATACTAGCTGGTTACCGCCGCCGCCGGCGCGGTTTGGGCGGCGGGGCCACGCTGACCTGTGCGTCGGCCAGCTCGGCGTGGGATGCTCCAGCTTGTTGCAGCTGTCCTCGAGCTTCTACGAAGAACATCACGTCTCGCAGCTGTTCTTTTAGTTCGGACACCTGTAAGGGAAAGAATTATATTAGCTAATGTTTTTACCACATTCCCAGTTAAAGTAGACCAAAAAAAAGCGTTTTCAGGAGACTATAATATTTTGAGAAGGTGTCGTATTCGTATCTCAGGCTTGTAGTTTAAAGCTGTGAAGGTTTGAGCAACTTCTTTGCAGAAAAGAATAAATTAGAAAACAGCGACTATAACAACTTGACAAAATAAAATCCATTAGTAGATTTTGTAAACTACTACCATGGGAGAAACTATTTAACTGCATTGGTTTTTGTAGGGTTTTACCTCTTTAACAAAGTTCTCTTCCTTCACCTTAGCCCTGGCCTGCCACTCCGCCTGGCTGTTAGCGAGGGCGGCAGCCAGGCCTCGTTCCTCTGACAACTCGTTCTGGAATAGTGCTAGCCTGAAAAAAGGAGAGTGAGTGAGGTTACCGGAGACCAATTACACCCTCCCCCTTCTCAGTCTCCCCAATCACCGAATACTCCACAATCCTCAAATTCTCAATCCTCAAAAGGTCGATAATGCACTTGTAACGCCTCCGGTGTTCCGGGTGTCCGTGGGTGACGCTGATTGCTTACCATCAAGTAAAACGTATGCTCATATACCGGCTTATTCAATAAAAAAATTGAAATAATTTTCAAAACAAAATTTTTTTTTGCTTTTGGAAATCGTTGTAACGACGCTCTTACTGCCTGAACACAGAATATTAATTAATTTAATACATAATATAATAATCCATTTCCCGCTGGTTCTGCTATTGGGTCCTTGTATTACAGGGTGTGCCTATAAGTCCAATACCTAATGCAATCTAACCCTGCCTCCAGTCTACATTTGTACTTGCTAAATAAGAGGAAAATGTTCATATAATGTTGTCCAAATGGTATTACACTGTACTAAAGAGTACTACTAACTTGTTGGTAACTTGCTGCAGCTTTCTCTCCAAGTTCTTGTTCTCTTTGGTCAGCGTGGCGACCTGCTCGCTGAGCTTGGAGGACGAGGCCTCCGCCTCAGTAGCCCTGAACCGAAGCTTTTCACACTCCGATATGTGTTCTGCTTCTAACCTGCACAGATGTTTCAAATAAAATTTTAACTGACGATAGAAGACTGTTTCCAACTTTGACCAAGATTGTCTGTGAACATAACGAGTCGAGTGCTTGGAATCTGTCAAATGTGCCCTATACCTGGCTCTTACGTCTCTCTCAAAAAATTTGTGGGAGTGAATTTATTAATTGAATTATGCTATCTCCACACGACACACGAATAGCTTTATAATACGAACTACTATCTCCAACTCACTTGTTCATCTTCTCCTCGTAGAACATGCGCTGGCTGTCGAGCTGCTGCGTCAGTATGTACGTGAACTCCAGCTGTGCAGAGTCCAGTTTCTCCCCCCCACAGGCTGAGTCTTCCGAAGTGAATCCCCCCTCCGCGGCCACCAGCTTACCATCAGCTTTGTTTTGCACTAAGCGGTGAACGAAGTTATCACCTGAGAAGGGAATGGATATTATTATTAGTAGTTTGTGGAAGTAGATTAACACCTAATATGTAACATATGTTAGGTGTTATGAGTCTCGTTTACCCAAATGCTGAAATAGTCAGTGGGGCTTTGCCATTACTGAGCATCAAAACCGATATGTTTATAGCATACTGTTTTTTCATTATGAGAGTTCCTAAACACTCACCTGCATAATCCCACACTCGATTAGATCCCAACTGCAGTGCATATGTGTGGTTTGAGGCTAAGAAATGTTTAGCTGCATGTCCACCTTCATACCTGTAGGGTACAAAAAAATGTGGTAAATACAAAACCTTAGTAACTATATCCTAAAAGCTACCAAGACACGGGTAGTAGCAGAACGTTTGGTGACTTAACTGCGAAAAAAGAAGTATGCTACTGACCTGCCACATCCAACATTCCCGCAGATGAGACAGATCCACAGCGTGCCAGCTTCCACGCCGTCCAACAATCCCTCAGCCACGCCGCTAATGTTTTCGCGCGTCTCATCACCATCTTCTTCTGTATAATGAGGGGGAAAGAACAAAATATTCTTTCATTAGTAAAGTTAACCCCTCGAGCGTCCTTATGAGCACCCGGTGGATCATAAGAAAAAATGCTCTATGCTGCTTTCTCTTTTATAAAATCTATTATTATTGTTTTGTTTTTATTTTGACTGTATTTGTTTTATTTCTATTGTAATGATCCTTGTTTTCGTGTGCCAATGGCCAAATAAATGCATTTTCTTGCATGCATAAGGATAAGGAAATGCATAAGGAACACGGACGCTAGACGGGTTAAATCACAATTTCTATACAACATACAAAGGGTTCCTTACTCTCTGATTTTATGTAAATAGCTTATTGACCTTCTATAAGTGACCCAAGATAATACGCAAAAGTATAAATTGTGACTAAAAGAATGAGGTACGACATCGTCACAGGAAGTTATGGAAATGAGAAGAGATGACTTAAGCATCGTCTTATTGGAAAGCGAATATGCGATCGTAGTAAGTTCGTAACTCAGGTGTCGTTGTAACTGGCAATAACGAGCTCGGTAGCACAACCACGGTCGTGCTTAGTCCACGGTCGTCTGCAATAATCGCGCGTTCGTGTCTTATTAGGACGATGCCTTAGAATTTAAAACTGAGAATCAAAGAATGGATGGTTAAATTGTAAAAGGAGTGACATGAAAGATGTCCATTAGGGCGAGAATGGTTAAAGAACACTTCTATTGGGATAATAATTCCAAGGATCGTGTGATTTAAAGGGAAGAAGCGTCTTTACTGAGATATTAAAGTGTGGTTTACGTACCTGCGAGAGCAGCACGCTCGCACTGGAAGCAGACAGCCTGCCCGCGCGGCTCCGGCGTCTGTGCGCACCGACACACCGGGCAGCGCGCGTCGCGCCACCGCACCAGGCACTCCGCGTGGAACGCGTGCGCGCACTGCACGCTCAGCACGCCCGCCACACTCTCGTCCATGCGCTCTGACATACACAACATCCTACATTACTGTCTGAACTATCTCCTACATTACGAGGCCGCCACCGCACCAGGCACTCCGCGTGGAACGCGTGCGCGCACTGCACGCTCAGCACGCCCGCCACACTCTCGTCCATGCGCTCTGACATACACAACATTCTACATTACTGTCTGAACTATCTCCTACATTACGAGGCCGCCACCGCACCAGGCACTCCGCGTGGAACGCGTGCGCGCACTGCACGCTCAGCACGCCCGCCACACTCTCGTCCATGCGCTCTGACATACACAACATCCTACATTACTGTCTGAACTATCTCCTACATTACGAGGCCGCCACCGCACCAGGCACTCCGCGTGGAACGCGTGCGCGCACTGCACGCTCAGCACGCCGCCACACTCTCGTCCATGCGCTCTGACATACACAACATCCTACATTACTGTCTGAATATCTCCTACATTACGAGGCCGCCACGCACCAGGCACTCCGCGTGGAACGCGTGCGCGCACTGCACGCTCAGCACGCCCGCCACACTCTCGTCCATGCGCTCTGACATACACAACATCCTACATTACTGTCTGAACTATCTCCTACATTACGAGGCCGCCACCGCACCAGGCACTCCGCGTGGAACGCGTGCGCGCACTGCACGCTCAGCACGCCCGCCACACTCTCGTCCATGCGCTCTGACATACACAACATCCTACATTACTGTCTGAACTATCTCCTACATTACGAGGCCGCCACCGCACCAGGCACTCCGCGTGGAACGCGTGCGCGCACTGCACGCTCAGCACGCCCGCCACACTCTCGTCCATGCGCTCTGACATACACAACATCCTACATTACTGTCTGAAACTATCTCCTACATTACGAGGCCGCCACCGCACCAGGCACTCCGCGTGGAACGCGTGCGCGCACTGCACGCTCAGCACGCCCGCGCCACACTCTCGTCCATGCGCTCTGACATACACAACATCCTACATTACTGTCTGAACTATCTCCTACATTACGAGGCCGCCACCGCACCAGGCACTCCGCGTGGAACGCGTGCGCGCACTGCACGCTCAGCACGCCCGCCACACTCTCGTCCATGCGCTTGACATACACAACATCCTACATTACTGTCTGAACTATCTCCTACATTACGAGGCCGCCACCGCACCAGGCACTCCGCGTGGAACGCGTGCGCGCACTGCACGCTCAGCACGCCCGCCACACTCTCGTCCATGCGCTCTGACATACACACATCCTACATTACTGTTGAACTATCTCCTACATTACGAGGCCGCCACCGCACCAGGCACTCCGCGTGGAACGCGTGCGCGCACTGCACGCTCAGCACGCCCGCCACACTCTCGTCCATGCGCTCTGACATACACAACATCCTACATTACTGTCTGAACTATCTCCTACATTACGAGGCCGCCACCGCACCAGGCACTCCGCGTGGAACGCGTGCGCGCACTGCACGCTCAGCACGCCCGCCACACTCGTCCATGCGCTCTGACATACACAACATCCTACATTACTGTCTGAACTATCTCCTACATTACGAGGCCGCCACCGCACCAGGCACTCCGCGTGGAACGCGTGCGCGCACTGCATTGGTATTACAATCTACCTCCACAACCAGCATGCTCGATGTTTCCATACATATAATAAACCAAAGTCCTATCTGCTCTACTTCTGTCATTTCAAAGTAAACTCTAAAATTATGAATAACAGCCTTCAGCAGCCTAGCAAGTTTTTATGCAGTTTCCATTAGTGAACAAAGTGAATGTTCTTATAAAAGTGTATTCAATAATATGAAAAAAGTTCAAAATTCCATGATAAAAAAGCACATTTTTATTTTAAAACTTGATAAAGTCAACATTTCTTAAATTCAGAAAACTGACCAATTTGCATGTCACATTTACTACCATTAACTCGTCGAGTACCGGTTTTATAGACACAATTAAAGAACAATAGGTCGCGGTCACCGGTGACCGCTTGGTGTTTGACAGTTTAATACTAACTACTCACCCAGGCACACGGGACATGTAGGCAGCTCGGTGTGAGAGGGGGGCGGAGTGCCGTCCCGGGCCCACTCCACGCGCGACACCCACGCCATGTGACACAGGGCGTTGGGCTCCAAGCTACTGTACGGCACCCCATCGAATGTCTCGTGGAACTCACGGGCCGCGTCACTTGTTCGGAATCTGGAACAACAATATGGTTTTATAATAAATAAACATTTGACACCGAAACATACCTCATTTATCGCGTTGGTACACTCATTATTTCGTATCATCACCACCATTTGGATTCTTTCTTCACATGTATGTTGTTATTGCCAAGAAAAACTGTGTAGAAAAGCTAAATTCGAGCTTTATTGAGAAGGTCAAAAGAAAAGCTTCTGGTAGTAAATAGGATTATATGTTCAAAGATTCTATTACTGTGACAAAATTACCAAACTTTGTTAAGTTTGATAATTTTGTTTAGGAGAACCCACTATTCTAACACTTAAACAAGTAGAAACTAACAATTTAAGAGGTAACTTACGTAAACAAAGCCATGTAATGATCAGGTGACCCATCCCTCAGCACCCTGACGTGAGCAATGTCCTGCTGGCAGGCTGCTGCAAAGGCCAGGAGGTCGGGAGCTCCCAGAGCCCCAGGCACAGACAGTAAACACAGGGTCTTTGCCTCTTCTGCTTCTTTCATTTCACTAAAACAAGAATAATTAAATGTTAATTATTTATTGTTATTTAGTTAAAACCTTATTTATAGTTTAGGCCTAAAACAATGTGGTCATAAAGGATCATTTAATATTTGTTGGCTTAGTTATTATTACTAAAGGAGAACGGCAGATTTTGTACCGCATCGCTAAAAAAAGATTTGTCATTAAAAAATTGGGTCATTATAGAACCTCCTAAGTACGTTATGTTAGCATATTTAATAGATTTTTAAAACTTGGGAAACCCTAGAAAAACTGATATTCAATAATGATAAAAAGCAATCCACTATACGTAAAACGAACCGCGATTGACGTTTACAAAGTTGCCATGCGTAAAGGTGAAATCAGAGCATATTGAATTTCGCTATTTCATAAACTCATTTATTTTAATATCTATCAATGAAATATTTTCCTTTCCATTTCAAACATTTTTATAAGTAAATATAAAAATCTACATCCAATCTAAATCTACTTTTACATGGATTATTAATGATAATTAACATTTTAACAAACTTGAATATTATGGCAATGTTGAACTGGCATTTGTCTTGATGACATTGACAATTAATTTGTCAATACTGGCGCATTGCTGTTTGTTTCAAATGCGATGTTATGATGTGTTTGTTGAATTTGAAGTTATTTTATTCATCTGGTGATACGTTGAGTTTGGCAACCGTTCCTCCGTAGCCCAAATTGGTATTATTGGCATCATTGTTGTGACAATTGCGAAAAGACACTTATTTACATTATTTTGTGCAGTGTGTTGTTATTTGTCGCGATGATGAATTTACAGTGTATTAATTGCATTCAGAGTTTGTCGCACATGAGACGGCATGCTCTAGAAAATGAGAGTGAAGATTAGACGTGGTCAACAATATCCCAATGTGGACTTATCCTAGAGATGTAAGTACCTAGTTTACCCATAACATATCGAAAGTCACCATGTTCCTGAATAAAAGAAGGCGCATAGTGTTATCTACCCATAATGTATCATTTTATTCTTTTTATTCTAGATCTCTCCTACCGACCATATTTGCAATGCTTGCTGGCAATTAGCAATGTATCGGGATGTTGCTGAAAGTATGTCCAGCAAACAAATTGGTCACTGGCATGTTCGTGTCGTATATTTAATTGAATTGAAGGCGCCAACAAACAGGAGTAAAGACTGGCTCATATAGTATTTGATTGGATTCAGCCACAAGAGGTAATAAAGCATAATTTAACCATACTATTATCTATATACAGTGTAATCTAAAGTCAATATCATATTCTAATAATATTACTTATTTTAGCTTACTTCCCATGATGAAGATCATGTTCCATACTGACTGAGAGACCGTACAAGAGTCGAAACTATAAAACCACAACCTGACATACCACCTCACAGTGTTCACTATCAGGAAGTAATGTATTATGTAAACATGGACTAAGCCTCACTTTAACATTGCCATTTGTAGAACAGATGAGGCCGGATGATGTTGTTCGGCTCTCAAAGCTTCAACAGGTATGCATTCTCAATATAATGTACCTACATAATTATGTATCTATGTGGAGTATATAAGCGGTTTCTAATAGGTTTATACTCATGTTATAATTATAATTTATTAATTAGCATGCTGTTTGAGCTCCTATGATCTGTGTTATACGAATAACTATAATAAATGTATATAAATGTAAACTATACTAATGACTGCACGGTTGGTGCGGTGGCTGGGCAACCGGCTGCCGTGCAACGTGTCGCGGGTTCGATTCCCGCACGGAACAACACTTTGTGTGATCCACAAATTGTTGTTTCGGGTCTGGGTGTCATTGTGTATGTGAACTTGTATGTTTGTAAACGCACCCACGACACAGGAGAAAATCCTAGTGTGGGGCAAAGTTTTTTTAAAGAAAAAAAAAAAAAAAAAAAAAAAAATAAATAAATGTTATAAAATGAAGTAATGTAATCAAATATTTATTTTTATCTTTTCCATTTTAAGATAGGGAACCAGACTTATTATTATAACATATAAAACTAAAGGAAAAAAATGTACTTTTGTTTACTTTATTTACAGTTATCTTACTTGTTTACAGATATCAGCAATTGATGTCTGCTGTACCTATGACACGGCCTGTTCTCTTTTTAGATGAAGTACTCCTAGAAACAACCTGAATACAATGAAATAAAAGTATTTCAAAATAATACATTTGTTTTATTTTAACCTAGTAAGTAACTATATATTCCATCTTGATAAAAGTGATTTTAAGAATCAATCTATAAAATAAATGCCATATTTAATTTAGATAGCTTTAGTTTTATACCAAAAATGTTCATTTTCATTTTACATTTTCTTTAGTTGTAATGTGGTGGCCCAGAGGTTTAAGAAGCCCGCTTCTCATGCATGAGAGTGCGGGTTCGAAACCTACCAACGGCAAAGTACCTTTTGTCCAATGTGTCTTTTTTCCGAGTTATTGGTATATTCAATAATCTAAGAAAGTACAAAGACACCGCTGACGAATGGTGAAGGAAAACATTGTGAGGAAACATGGGCTTATAATTTCTTATTATAAGTTTGAATTACCAACCCACATTGAGCTAGTATGGTGATTAATGCTCAAACCTCCATGCGAGAAGAGGCTTCGGTCAGCAGTGGCCACTTATAGACTTAATGATGAAAATGTTGATGATTCTACTAATTTGACTTACTTATTAGAAATTAATCCTTACATGCGTGCTAAGCAACCAGTTTTCAGAAGAAATACTTTCTCAAAGAGCTAAGCTAAGTTTAAATCGAATTAACTTGAGACCCTTGAGACTATCTACCTGCAAGATTCAAGGTGAAGTGAGACATTAGTTTTATCATATCCGCCACAAGACTTCCACTGCTAAATGTAGGCCTTCTACCCAATGACAGTCGCTTACATTATGAATTTGCATTTTCGTAGGCACCTAAGAAATGAAAAAGATTGTGAGGCATACTCTTTAAAACTCTATAGGTGCATCATGCTTGCTGAATTAACAGGATCATTCCTAATTGCCTTTTGCGCTGCGACGCACCATAGGTTATTTTTTGGGTTTCTAAATTCTTGTTGTGTGTCGTAGCAAAATAAATGGTTTTTCTTTCTTTCTTTCTTTCTAATAATACAAAGTGTAATAGTCACTTGAGTAGCGAGCAGTATTTTTAGATTTTTGTTTTTTGTAAATAAACAACCACATGAGAGCACATTGACATTTTTCAGTTAACTGTCATCTGTCATTTGTAATAGATATTTTGCTTACGGTGGCTCTACACTTGACGTTGCGTATTTGTTGTGTTCGGCCAAAAAAGAACATGTTTGGAGGATTTATTCTTCTTTGTTTGCTATATATTTGCACGCCATTACATATAGAGATACTATTTGGACGCCATTTGTACGTAGTCTACAAATATTTGGACAAATGAAGCGACTACGCAATGTCAAGTGTGGTACCACCTTAACATACCTTTTGCACATTTTCAAAGTGAAATAACTTTTGAACCCCAAGTTCTAAAAATATGTAATTTTTTTTAAAACTTCATAATAAAAATATCTATCGTTCAGATTATTCACTTGGTTAAAACAATGACTAATACAAAATTTTATAGCGGTACAAAACTTCCATACAAACCTGCCATTCTCCTTTATTGTTATTTAGGAGTTAATTGTTATTACTGATTACTAATATCTAGTCACTTTTGAATTAGTAACACTCAGTAAATCAAGTTACAGAAAAATGTCTGTTTTATAATAACTATTGTGAGACATACTAAATCAACTAAAAATCGCAGGTTACCCACTCAAGGGAAGAGCCACTCTGTGGCTTAAAAATTAGTAATTTAATTTCTCAGTATTTTCTTGTGAGTAATCCGCGATTTTTAGTTAAGAAAAATATATGAATACACATGTAAACAAAAGATTGGATTTGATAAATCAGTTAAGGAGATAATTTATACATGAAAACAAAGCTGTCATAGCTTTAATAATAAAGATTTCTTTGACTAATAATAGTAATTATAAGAATGTAACTAATATGTTTGTATTGTACAATAAAAAACCAATACACAATTTTATAAGAAACAGACAGAATATATAGGGTCTCTTTCACAATGTCTGATTAAGTTCCTGTTAGCCAAACTTATAGATAATAATTTGACAAGTTAGTATACAAAATGTGTCAAAATATATGACTAATCAGACATGGCTATTTCACCATCATTAATCAGACAACAGAAACTTCAAGTCAAGTGGGTCGACAACATCATATTGGAGACTCAATTGCCAAAGAAGAGAAAAAAAAAACAAAACACTTCACAGCAAAAATAATTTAAATATTTAAGCAAGTTAATCAGGAACTTACTTTTCTTTATACAGATGTAGGACTCCCTTTGTGACTTCAACAAGAGGGTTTCCACAGAAGAAACTAATAGTGTCTTCTTCTTCAGACATGCTGTTTTCAGGAGGGGAGCGTCTGGAGCTAGTGGGCAGGATCCCTGTGTCCGTGTTTGGTCCTGTCAGGACACTAGCATATGTCTCTACAGTAATAGTCTTGGACTCGCGAGCTCCTCGGTCCTTCTTCTTCTGTTCTTTAGCAGCTTCTAAAGAAGATAGACAGAATATATGTATTTTTAATACCTTCTAGAATTTTCTTTAAAATAAATGCTACATGTCTTACAGAAGCAATGGCTGTAAATATTTGAATAGATAGGTAAAATGACCCTCTGACCTTATAATTAGATTCATTCATATCTAATTAGTAGGTATTTAGTCTTTGTTTCCATAAGTTTAACTTTAAAATAGTTTTGGTGTTTCGAAATTGAAAATTAATTTAATTGTGACTACTTTTTCTTTGTTTGAAAATTTATTACAGTTACAATAATGTTTGGGTTTAGAAATTGGAAATTCTAATTGCGAACAGTTATTTTACAAGATGTCTGTCCGCTGTTGCTATTTACTGTAAACACCACAGGCTTTATGTCTACGTGTTTTCTAACATAATGCAGTTTAGCTACGTTAGTGGTGTGGTTTGTCCCAGATTTTATTGAATGTAATAAGGACAAATAAATCAGATTATCTTACCCATTTCAGCAGGATTATCGCCCATTTCGGGAAGATCTTCGTCGATTTCAATACGGAGAACGCACAAAGACACGGACATTTACAAGCAAATTATTTAGTCAAACAAAAAGAAAAAAACGATTCCATTCAGCCTTTACACATCACTGAAGATTGTGATTATACTTTATTCCATGATACTGCAAACAAAGCAATTATTTCGAGAAATTTTAGGAATCACAGCACAATCAGATGACAACAGCTTGGACAAATAAAAAATAATCAATTCAGATAAATACTTTATGGCTTTCCTCGGTGAGACAGTGATATCTCATACAACCATGAGGGAAAGAAATGCAATAATAACTTCAAAATTTCATCAACAACAAAACTCTTGATCATCGGGTTCAGCCAATAAGCTTTTGGTATTTGATATTATGCCAATATGACAATTTTGACACGAACAGCTGACAGTGACAATGGCTACGAAGACGTCAATAAGAAATACCATAGACCATCCACTTTTTAATAGTGTGATAATTTGTTATTGTGGTTAAATGAAATAATTTCTTTGTTTTCCAAATGTTGACTTCGATTATAAAATTATTTTCTTATAATAGAGTAATTTAAGAGTTACATTTGATTGATACATTTTTAAACATATTTACAAAAGGTTTCCAAAGTGTGTGTATCCGAACAAGATTTACTGAAAAAAATATCATTGTAGTTTCAAGTTCTCCCATTGTACATTGCGTATTTTATGATAGCAAGGGAACATTAGCTAATACAAAAAACGTAATTGGTATCAAAATTTTAAAAAGTCGCTTTTATTTGATGTTGAGTGGAAATAAAAGAAAAAAATATTCAATATGGCTACAGATCATACGACGTGAGCTGTCAGCTGTAATAATTTTTGTTTCTTTGTGTTTATTACGCCTTTAAAAATGTTATGATCGTTACGTACACGCGAATATGGGTGCGAAAGACTCGAAACCATCTTTTATATCTTACGAGGATGCAGTGAAACGAGGTACGACCAGTGCTTGAAGTTGATAGAAGTGCGTTGTAAGATTGTGATGAATATCGGTTTATTTTATTTGCAGTGTCTGATAGTGAGTTGAGACGTATACGCGAAGCGTTCAAGAGATGTGCCGGTGCAAATGGAACGGCCTTGAGCTTAGAGGCGTTTGTCCATGAAGTGCTTTGTGATGGAGTTCCCTGCGAGGTGGCCGAGTGGCTGTACCAGGCGTGTGGCGGCACCAAGAGAGGCATCGCCTTCAGGGAATTGCTGTGCGGGATCGTGGTGCTTACTAAGGGCAACATCGAGGAGAAAATAAAGTGAGTAGTGCCCTGTGTGTCCATTGTTAGTTGTAAACAATTACATCACAGTAATTATCATAATAATATGATGTATATTGTTGTGTTGTGTTAGTTGCAATAATTTTTTCTCTCTCATATAGCCTTAGAAAATAGTCTGAAATAAAATAAATATTAGGTTTAATTTTGGGAATTACAATAGGTTATTATAATGGTAGGTAAATAAATAACAAATAATTAATTCTATAGTCTTCAATTTAGTTTAAATATGTACCTAATATTTGTGTATGGGTTGTCACAACATGCAATGAGTTGCCAGTTTTCTGTAATATCCTGAGATATTATTATTCTTGATAAAATTAATTTGTTACCTACAAGTGACCAAAGAGTTGGCTTCTGTGGTTTATTAGTAATGAACTACCACAATAGAAACCAATATGATAATGATCAATATACAATGTACCACCTACAGGCAATCTTATATTAAAAATAAATACTTTATAGTTTATTTACAGTATGTTTCCTGAAAGAAAAACAATTATTACTGTAGAACACAGAAACTTACTGAATTAAAATTAAATAAAAACTGCTTAGAAATTTTCCTGTTTTATCATAATTATAAGACGAATCAGATTTTAAATTGAATGTTGCATTGCTGCAACCAGTATTAAAGTGGAATTAATTGAGAATTTCTCGATTATTCTGTAATCAATAAAAAAACAGATTTTTACAAAAAATGAAAAAAAAAATGTTTTTCCGTATCACATGATAGAACAGAGCTTTATTTTATTTAACAGTCCTTAAAATAATAAAATGAGATTATTACTGATGTAAACATGGTAGTAACTGACTGGTTTTCATTAATATTGCCTCTATTTATGTACTTGTTACATAATTCTGATAAAATAAAAATAAATTACCCTCAGAATTGCTGTTATATCCCATAAGAGCAAAAACTCTGCCCAACTATGCTGAGTAGATTAATATACATAAACAAACTTTCAAACTATTTCAATAACAGTGCCATCACCATAAAAATATTTCCTACATGTGAACAAATTATGTGTGATTATCCTCAATACATTGGCGTAGCACTTGAAAACAATTTTGGTACAATTGTTAAGTAAAAACATATCTATCTTGTGGGCTTCCTGTTACATTTAATCACACAATTTTGCATATCTTCTGATTATGTACAGAGCCATGATGTCAGCAATCAAATTGCTTACTTTGTACTATCATTATAATAAATTTTTATTTTAAGTTTCTTTCTACAATATTTCAAGCAGCACATTCATCAATTTTTGTTTTTAATGTCGTTATTGTGAGAAGTAATGAGTTATCTATTTATTAATTTATCAAGCTTCATTAAATAACTACTGCAGGTGATTAAAAGTAAATTTATCTATGTTACCGTGTCAACCATGTTGTCAAACTCGGACAAAAATCTGTAGTTTTACTTGGATGACTGTTTGGAAGTATGCAATAAGAATTTAAAGCATAAAATAAGAACTTCTGGGAAATCTATGTTCTCAGTTTGTGCTCATTAGGATATTTCTCAGATTATTGTGGTTTTTAGCAGTGAAGATTTTTGGTAGGTAGTTAGCTGATCCATATATAAATAGTCTTATATATCATCACAGCACAACAATATATTATCCATATCATACAATTTTAGGTTTCTATGGACTCTATATGTGAACAACCAAGGAGACAATGGCACATACATATATAAGAGAGATTTCGCGCGAACTCTCCACCTGGAATACAGTTCACTGCCCTACACTGGGGCACAAAGAAATGCAGAAATACTTTTGAGCCTTTTTGGCCCAGCAGAAAAGGTCACTTTCGATCAATTTCGTTCATGGCTGTTAATACACAAAGATGCGACAGTGCTGTCCAAATGGCTACTGTCGGAAGTCAATGTGGCCCAGGACCTGGAGACCCCTACATTCTACCAGAGTCTGGCAGGAGTCACACATTTGGAAGAGCGGGTGAGTGCATACTAAGCTTTATTATTGTACCAATAAGGTTTAATATTTGTGTATTCGTTTTTCTTATCTTGACACGAAACGAAATATTTTTAGCCTTAAGATTAACGAGAGTAAGATTAAGAGTGTTTTGAAACAATCAACACGTTAATGCTTTGTGCTAATAAAGATTCGAGTCAATCGAGCCATGTAGACGGCGCGAGACAATTTCAAAACAAAGCGCTCTCTGTAATAATAAATTCCATGCACATATCAATCGATAATGCAGATTTATCTTTGCCGGAAAGCGTCAAATCCTGCTTAGTCATTGTGAAAATCTTTTATGATTGTGATAATCATATAATCCATTCAATGCCAGATAAATATATCCTGAATCGTCCGATTTTTCGGACCAGGATAAATCCTCGGTTTCCCGCTAAATGTTCAATCGATATTGCGAATATTGTTGCCGGTCATCTAGTTGATCATGATACAGGCACTGATAGGATATCAATGGTATCGCCAGACATCATGTAGTGACGTCAAATGGCCCGAAAATGTCTGGGAACTGCGCGAAATTGATTCACTGATTAGTATTATTAGTTAGATACAAGTACTGCTGGTCAGTATGAGCGTGCAATTAGATGTAACTAGATGAAGATGAAGTTAGGTTTGTCCGATTGTAACATACAAGTTCTTTGTTCAGTTGATATAACTACTTTGGTGCTTATGCTATTTCAGCATTCCCGGTGTACAACAAAGCCAGGAATAAAACCTCTTTATTACAATACTAAACGGCGAGAGTAATTAACTTTATAAAGCTAATGGCTGGCCTTACAAAGCATTTAAGTAATGGATGTACTAATATAAAAATTAGATACGCGTAATAAACAACCAATAGAATTACTAATAAATTAATCATTTCAATAGTATCCGCGTTAGCTTTATCTCATTTTCCGCTCTGATTAAGCATATCAATATGCAAAATTAATTTTTTTAATCGCCGTTTCATATACTCGCATGAAACTGATCTTAATTGTTTGATTACTGTTCAGAAGGTTGTTATACAAAGTTCTTAACAATCGATTACTCTTGTAATCACTTAGATGAATCTCTGAAACAGATTAAGTTGTAATTAGGAACACAAGGTTTTCTGTATCACCATGTCAAATGCTCCCCATGTTTAAGGAAGTAAAAACAATACTAGATGTTTTTGTGGGTATAAATAATCGGATTGATACGAAGACTTCGTTTATCTAGTAGTTATTTAGTCCATCTGTAGCCCTATCTACGATATTTTTGTACTAAGTTCGTGCGAAGTGATTTAGTCTATCATGTTCTAAAATATCTCTAGATAAACAAAGTTCTTTCTTCAGTAGTAAAAACTAAAATGTCACATATACTTTCTTTGCTTTGTACTTTATAATATGTTGGACATATCTATCATTCGATGTTTTATTTATCCGATAGTTATCAGTGATTACTGATTTTCCCAAAGTGGTCCTATCTATGTATGTCAAAGATTCCAGTTTCCCATGTTTTGTAAAGTGTAACCTCGGTTAGATCACGACATTTTGTTAACTAACTGAGAATCTGTAGTGAAGTGACTAACTGACGACAAATACATTTTGCGCACTTAGAGCTGGTTAGTCACAATTATCTCAATAACGACGTGTATGTTTGTTAAACGTGCCTCTGTAAATATTACATGTTTATGGGATTCTTAATATTTGTTACAAATGTATGAGTGTGAGAATATCATGGATCAATGAGGCGTTTCAAATCGATTCGGGTAATGCTCCAATTCGGATGGTAATCTTGATGTGATAATGGTTGGTTTTATTTAACTAAATCAGCTAATTAAAATAATAGGTAGTGGATTTTATTTAGGCAAATTAGATATGCTCAATACTAATACATGCCACCTGACGTTCTTATAACTATATTACACTTACACATAAAGATAACTATAATCGGTTGTTACCAACATCATTGCAACACCTGTGCACCATTGTGCACACTAGTTATTTAGGGAACAAAATAACGTTGATAGTTTTGCTAAATAAGGGGGATATTGAAATCCCTCGGAGGGAAATCCCAACCGCAGTTATTTGTTGGTCAGTATCGAAACAAGTTAGTCTGATTTCTGTGAATATCGCAACGAACGCCTTACGTTGTGTTGTGACACTGTTTTTAACTTGCATATTATTTGTAAACACCACAGCTCTACTGATAGCTTTGTTATATCGATTATAATAATAAACTATTAATACTCATTTTTTATTGATGTAGGTTTGTTCAGATGTGTTTCTGATTGGGTGATTTCTTGCTAATCTAGATAAGTATGGTAAATACGAAAGTTGAGTAATTGTTTAGCAACATCGTAGTCATGAACAATAACTAAAGAAAAAGGAAAAGAAAGGCCGAAAATAAAAGTTATGAATAAGTCCTCATCAATTTTAACTTAACGAGATGAAGAATATGATACAATATTAACCAATCGCCTATTAAATGATAAAACCTATGAAAGCTTAACTGAAAAGGAAGTTTTTTTTTTAAAACGTTGCCCCACACTAGGATTTTCTCGTGTGTCGTGGGTGCGTTTACAAACATACAATATCACATACACATGACACCCAGACTCGGAACAACAATCTGTGGATCACACAAAGAGATGTTCCGTGCGGGAATCGAACCCGCGACACGTTGCGCGGCAGCCAGTTGCCCAGCCACCGCGCCAACCGTGCAGTCAAAGTCAAGTTAAAAAGGAATTCTTTAAAGGTTCTTTAATAGGGATTGGAACCGTTGAAGTTGAAGTTTATATGTTCGTGATAGCATATACGTACGTCTGTGCTATCAAATTGTTGTTTACCGGCAATGTTTTTACAGAGTCTGTCACTTATTTGCTATCTGTTTGAGTGCCTTATCTTCGCCAACAGTGTAGCACTTTTGACATGATAATATCTTGCATGTAAATATCGTTAGTACTTATGTACGTGCATTTTGTTCTAGTATGTTCTGCTTGACGCTTGAGACGTAGTTGTAGAACAAAAATTGTTTATAAAAAAGTATGTATACCTCTTCCATGAGTTTATAGCAATAGTATTTTGTCGACACTCGATAGGGACGACGTAAATATTTTGTATGGAATATTTTACAGTGCCCCTAGTGATAATTTACGGAACTAAAATATGCCATACAAAAAAAATACATCGTCACTATCGAGTACCGATAATTACAATTGCTTTATGTTTATACTCGTGGTAAAAGTACTTGTAGTACTACTATAATTATAGACAGAATAAAAGGGGAGGAGGGGTCTCAATATTTGTACACAACAATCTCAAACATCACCTTGTTGAGGAACAATGTGTAGACGACACCCATTATCTCTGGATATACGTAAAGAAGTTTTCTTTAAATGTCGGTGCTATTTATAAACCCAATAAAATGAACATCGATAATTTTCTCGAAATTTATTCACAACAATTATATAAATTGAAACGAACAATAGTATTTGGTGATTACAATTGACTTTACAACCCCTTAGCACAAAGAAATATAAGCAGTTCTGAAGGAACACAATTACAGAATTTTGAATAAGATTAGTCTCAAGTACTGCACCCGTGAAACTGCTTCAACCAAAACGATGTTGGATCATGTCTCCTGCAATCTTAACGAAAATAATTTTCATATTGTTACTGTGGAATCTTCGATGTCTGATCACAAACAATTATTTTTAGAGATAAAGCAACACCAACCCCCACCTGTCATTAAACAGAAATATAACGCCATTGATTATAATAAACTATTTGAATACCTAGGTGACTATTCTAAAAATTTGAAAGAACCAGAATACGAAATATTTTCTAACAAATTACAAAGTGGCTTGGATGAATGCAAAATACCAAAGGTCAAACATCGAAATCCTCCACGACAAGACTGGATAAAAAAGGAACTATTGGAGGAGATAAATAAAAAGAATGTGCTATGGCAAAAATATAAAGCGGACATAACAAACACGGAACTCAAGAAAAGATATGAACAAATAAAAGTTACGATCTCACACAATATAAATAAGGCAAAGAGAGATTACTACCTGAGGAGGTTTGAAGAAAATTCAAGTAAACCACGAAAAATGTGGCAACTTATTAACGACCTGACAAGAAATAGGCTACACGGCAGAAGTGGACCGGATAAACTTGAAATGGCAGCTGGTGTAATTACAGACCAAAAAGAAATATGTGAAAGCTTCAACCTATACTTCTCGACTATTGGGTCAACATTGGCAAATGCGATCATACGAAAATTTAATGCAGGTACAGTGTTTGAGGAGTGTGGATTGACTGACGAATTGGTAATGGATTCTCTGGAACCAGTAACAGTAAAGGAAGTAATTGCTATAATTAAACACATGGACTGTAATACTGCATCTGGTATTGATGGTGTGACGACAAAAACGATTAAACACGTTACCCCTATTATTGCAACAGAACTAACAGACTGCATCAATAACTGTATAACAAAAGGTACGTTTCCAGATAGTTTAAAAATTGCAAAAGTTGTCCCAATTCATAAGTCTGGAAGTAAATTTGACCCTAGCAACTACCGCCCCATATCAGTTCTCCCGGTGATCTCTAAGATTTTTGAAAAGATTCTTTATAACCGCCTAGAAATGTTCCTAAATTCAAAAGACTTTTTTATTGTAAACAGTACGGATTTCGAGCCAAGTCAAATACTCTAGGAGCAACAATTGATCTCGTATCTAAAATAAAAAACTGTATTGATAAAAAACAAGTGGTCTTGGGTATATTTGTAGATCTTAAGAAAGCCTTTGATACTATTAGTCACGACATACTATTACACAAACTAAACCTCAGTGGTATTAGAGGCAAAGCACTTGACATTTTTAAATCATACATGGATAACCGTAAACAAGTAGTGAAAATGGGTGATTGTGAAAGCAGCGCCCGTATTCTCGATTTCGGCGTCCCTCAGGGATCCATATTGGGCCCTCTCATGTT